GGACTTTTCTAGGCTAGAGACATTCTCCGTATTGTCGTTTATTAGCCTTCGCTTTAGCTTTCGCTTGAATATTTAGTTGAATGCGGTCGCAAATTCGTGGCTAGGCTGGTAACCGCCATGTTACACAGCGAAACGGAGGGTGTGGGCACTAATGTGCAGAAATTTTGAGAGCAGGTAACTTATGACGAGGCCGTTTTTAACGGCGCCGGTGAGTGGGAGACAAAATCGAGATTAAATTCCCTTTGGACGAAGACTACACAAACTCACGTTTTTTACTGTATTCTACTTTTAACAAGACTGCTGCTGCTGCTACAAATAATTTTAAGCTCACCAAGCACCCAAGTGGACATGTTCAGTATACATGATTTGTTTTGGAAATTCTGAGATGCTGCACTTTTGGTCTTGGTTGGCCCTTGGCTTATAGTACAGAGAAAAAGGTTCTCGCACACTCAAACGGTCACCCTATCCTAGTTTCGGCTTGTCACTAACAGCCTGACTGTTTCCTTCTATACCTTCCCGGGCTCTTAACTCTTGACTTAGCGCAATGCTGCGTGGCTCCTTTATTCCGAGTGTATCGCTTCGATGAGAAAAGAGATGTAGGAAGTGTCAACTGATGAAGCTAAGGGTTGAAAAGATAATAGGAGCGCCGTAAAAAGTCGGTTTTGGAGTGAACAAAGAACTAGGCAGCTTTTGCAACAATGGTATCGTCTCCGCACCGTCTCCGCTGCTCACTTTTGGCTTTTTTTGATCCCTCACTGCGCAGAGTATTCTAACATGACTAAGGAAGCACTTGAGGTCGAGTCCGACTGAGTAACCATCCTCGCGACATCCTAGCGGTAGTTTTTGCTTCTGAATCAGACTGCATGTGCGCGACTAGCAGGAAGCATAAAAATTCTTACTTCGGCGACCATCTCCACATTCTGCAATCTGACTTCGCTCCACTTCTACTTCGTTATTTACAGCAGGATACTCTGCAGACTTTGAGACCGGGAATAGCTCTCTTTTGGACTTACCGACGGCGTTGACATGCTCATTCACCTAGGTTTTACTCCATCTCACCACCGGATGCTGTTCCGTTGTTTTAGGCACGCTATGAGATGTAACAGACAAGGGACGTTGATCTGTACGCGGGCTGGCTATTCAAGAAATGGGAACTTATGGAAAAGATTACCTGAACAGCAGGCGACCTTCTTACGTATAGCGGAAAAGCCTTACACCTAGAGCGATGCGGTTCGAAATTCCTAACGACACCTCAGAGCCTGAATTTCTCATCTCTCCTATTCATAAGTCGCCCCAACGAAAAGGACTAACTCTATTGTCTGTCGTCGTATCCAAATAATTACTCACTTTGATATTGGATGGTTGCATAATGGCGTGGCACAAACTCCGCAGACAGTGCAATACCAAGAAGGACTGACATGTGCGTCGCATTCAGGGGTAGGGGATAAGAGTCTCACCAGCGGAGGCAACGCCAATTCAAATACATCTGTGCAAGGATGCCTTTGGAAGATGATGGACTTTTGTCACCTTGTCTGATACATACGACCATACCCATTGGAAAACTCGGGATCCCGTCCGCTCTCCCATAGATAAGCCAATGAGGGCCGGATTAGTAGTTGGGTCGTTGACGACCAGCGAATACCTGGTGTTATATGTACGTTACTTTTTTTGTTCATCTCTTCATTTGGTCTTTCGCGTGATAAGTAAGCAAGGACTCGTCTTGATACGACTACCACACCACAATCAACTAAGGTCAGTTACAGTGGTCACTGATCTAGAAACGTCTCTCTTTTCTACACTTGAGATCTAATCTTTAACCATCACTTTACGTGCTTGTGCCAATGTGATTACTGCTGTGGTGGCAGCAGCGAAAAGATGAATTAGTAGTCGTAATGCCGCTGCGTTGTCTTCCTGGGCTTGGAATGACCGGTGCTATTGCCGATGACAATCGAAATATCTGTCAATGTTTCTAAGTTCATAAGGTAAAACCACCTTTTAATATGCCTTTCAATGTGCTCCCTGTGATCTCCTGTCGATTTACGGGCTAGCCATAGATGTACTGAAAAAGCCTGTGCGATAAACTTGCCCGCAATACGGCTGACCTACGTCTTTCAGCTCCCTGCTCGAGGTGTTGTAACCTAAAGTGAAGGCTGGCCCTATTTCTAGCTGTAGCGATGCGACTCTTGGCTTCCATCTTCTGGCACTTGCAATAGGCCCTTCAAAGTGGACATCGTCGATCAACCTATTGCCTCTGAGATCCAATCTAATCCTATCGCCAGGCTCTGCCAACGAATGCTCAAGGTAAGAATATTGGCTGACGGAGCATTCCATAAGTAACTCGGGGACAAATGCCTTTTGAGATTGACGAGTGGGATGCTCGCTCAACACTCAACTGGAAACACTCAACTGGAAACACTCAACTGGAAACACTCAACTGGAAACACTCAACTGGAAACACTCAACTAGAGAATTCCACCAATTCCCACTGACGTCGTCTGTAGGCAAATTCAGCATCAAGTGCTGCGCTGTTTGAAATTGGGACAGTAGGAGCAAATTTAGTTTGATCTGGGGTATCTAGATGAATGGAGTTAAAATCCAGAACAGCTCAACCAGAAACAAACAAGCAGCCTTTTGAAAGAAAGCCTGGGTCCTGGACCTGCCTCTTTTAGTCCTTTTCTTCATCCTTTGTGATCAAACGAAATGATCAAGAAACTTTAGACAAAGATGCCTTCATGTGATGCATCCAAGTCAAAAACACGCACTGAGACATTTCGAATCGGTGCTACCTTTGGATGTCAAAATTCCGCTGTTGTTGCCACGTCCCCAAGGCCTTCGATGCGGTGGGTCGAGCCCTGCCCCTTTCCAGTACTTCGTAGGGCATTTTCTTATCAGAGATGGCGAATTACAGAGCATCTTCTCCACTAAATTGATTATCCTTAGGAGGCTCGTAGGGGAAATTATCTAGGGATATTCCGAGCACAAAGTACGGATAGACCTTTTCTCGGCTGTTCTCTCACCGACTCTCTCCTTGGTCCCGCCAAGGAGATAAAGCGTTCAGATCGTAGAAATCTTTACAGTTCTCCCTATTTGCCTATCCCCCCTGTCACGAAATCATCCTTATATGGGCAATCTTAATCAAATATATGTTAACGGCAATTTTTCCGGTTCTAGTCTTCCTCTGGACTTGGCAAAAATGTTGAACCCAAATTATAGTTGATGCATGTTCTAGGGGAATAAGCTAGCCGAAGTTCAAGAAAAAAGACAAATAGTGATGAATTTGTCAGCTGCTTCAAAACAGGCTAAGATTGGCATATGACAATTCCTGGGGTGTTGTTTGAGGATGGTGAACGAATGTGAGCGTCTCGCAGACAACTTGTGTTTATTATCCATTTCAAGATCGCCAGAGGTACAATGGCTTTCCATAATGAAACCACTATCGGAACCACGTTTTAAGTTCAAACTTCCGTTTAGTGCCATTTTGATCGTGCTTGTCTACCTAGCGCAGTGAACAGAATTTTTCAATAATAAATCGACGCTTGTATAGTTGAATGCTCTCAGAGTGAATCTGGTTCAAATGTGGGCAACAGTGAGAACGATGAAAGGGAATGCAGTACGATGATGTTGCTCTATTTCCATGTAAAGGGATTTAAGACTCGCCGATTCCAAGAATAGCACTGATTTTGTAGCTTTAAAAGTTATGATTACGTCGTCTAGAGCCGGTGCCAAGCTTCAATTATAAATATCATCACATCCTAGATCAGCAACATAGGCCAAAGACCTTCGCAGCAAGGCTAGACCCATGGAGTCTTTCACCAAGGACAATTAACCCTCCTGTTATCAACGACACCATGCAAGAAGATGTCGCAGAAAAGTGTCTGAAAGTCTCCCGCCTTGTCAGTTGAGTTGGCTTACAGCGGCTGCCTTCTGGTCCTTGAGTTTTTTACGTACTGACAGCGCATTTATGAACACCAACGTACAGCAACCCTCACCGGCCGTCGATAGAATAGACAGTACCGCCTGATGGGTGGATTTTGGTTGTACATGTTGGCCTTCCCGTCAGTCAGGCCAGCCTGAGGGAAAACGGCCTCCAGAGTTGAACATCGAACAGGCTGGAGGATGCCATGTCCAGGTATGCGTTGTTGGCAACGGAGAGTGAACAGTCCCGACTCTTCACATGGCGATCGAGTACGCGACATCAAATTGAAATGATGTGAATGATTCCTGGATGTATGCATCCTAGAGAGCTGTTTCGCCAAGATGAGACCGGGTGTTGAAGGCTTGGATCCTGACAATGTTGTGGGGGATGGTGGGAAGCTAGTCCCAGATGAAGATCAGAATCAGAATAATCGAAGCAGATAGATGTAACGATCAACACCGAGTTAGGCGCGGATGATAGCTATTCAACGGCCCTCAAGTTAGTGATAGCCCTGCATTGGAGGGAGATCGCTAAGGTTCAGGACGGACACTAATAAGGCATGAAGATGGAGATCGGAATTTTGAAAAACTTTGTGGCGGTGGATTCTTTACTTGATTAGACTCTTTTTCCTTACTGAACAATATTATATGAAGGAGCAACGGGTGGTGCGTACGCGACACAATATTCTAAAATAGGCTTTGGCAACGATGTATTGGCTTTGGTGTTTCGATCTTGGTCCGGGGCAGGTAGTCACCCGTGTACTTTTGGTAAAGAGCGCGGATGAAAGATTTGGCGAAGCACTCTAGCCAGTTGGTCAATGTCTTACCTCATGGGTATATACGGATGAAGACGGTTTGGCCAGAGAGAATCAATGGATGAGGTATTTTGTGGTGTTATTCTGTGGTGCTGCGGAATAATTTATGCGTCAACTCTCTTTGCCGCGAATCAAGCTGATCATCTACTAACCTCCCGTGGGCCGTAATGCATACAAGCCTTGAAATCCTTACTAAGAAGACACCGGAAACGTCCAAAGTGACCAAGGATTACCTTGCTGTCCCTCCAACACGGTTGACTGTAAATGAAATCACGGGCAGGGAAGCAAAAGCTCATCCACCGCCTGCTCCAGCTCCTTCATGGCGTCATGGAACTTCTGTGCCACCGGGGGTACTCGGGGCCGCTTCGCCATCTCAACCTCCAAAGCTCGGTCGGCCACACGCTTCTTGCGGACGGAGTTAGCCATGTCCTTGTCAATCTGCTGTTGGGAGCCAACCGCCTCTGCCTTTGCCTTGAAGACGGAGCACTAGGTGAATGGCGAGGATAGGACCGTGCCGATGACTGTGGCAGAGTGGGAGTTGCTAGATATATCCAACCACGCTGTCGAGGCCAGCGACCCAACCCGCATCATGCTCCAATGCTTATGGAACACCAAGGAGAACAGCATCACTTGGGAACCCGAGTGCGTAATCCAGGAGGACGCTCCCCTTGTCCAGGAAGCCTATGTTACAATCAACAACCATCGTAACATGTTAGACCCTCAAGACCGGGATCTCTGACATATCCTCAGTATTCAAACCCACACTTTCATCAGCGACAATAAGAAGGCCGACAAAGGGGCCGACGCCATCATGTCGGTCTCTTGGGTCGAATCTATGGAAGTCATAGATGTGTTGGAGTCGTTATCAAGGAGAACAGCCCCATACTGTTAGAGGAATTCTGGGAGAACGTGGGCCCTCGCCCCGCGCAGACGTGATTGCATGTTGCCACAGGCCTAGTGTGCCGAGAACCCGGTATACCCGCCTAGAGTGGCTCGGGAGCAGCCGGCTTATAACCTGCTGCGCTTAAGAACCAGGTCACGCGTGTGATGAACCTGAGTCCTATTCTTCGTACCAGTGACTTTCAATTGCCACGCATGCCCACAAGTGCTAGAAAGACTGTGTCACCCCCAGTTGCTTAAAGGTTTGCAAGTCAGTTGAAAAGGACGACAGTATGATTGGCCCACATCGTCGATTTTAATCATTTTGACGACTGAACACAAGCTCATAATTCAAATCTTCAACAGTCCAATCAGAGGACGCCGGTAACATTGGCTTTGGTGGGTCAATTAAGACCCATTTCAATGTCAGCGCCCAGAAAATGTGCTGCGCAGATCAGGGGGTTCAAGTAGTGATATATTGATGGGTTGTATTCTCCAACTATGGATCAGTCCTATTAATTGTATTTTACTCATATATCAGGGGTACTGCGGAGCTTCTCGATCGGGGGCTGCTCAACCACCCGACCGATCCTTCCACCTCACACACGCCGGCACACACACGCCGGTCTAGACCTCAACTTCCCCCCCAAAAGGATCTCGGCCTACCCCACTAAGCCTGATTCAGAAGCATATTAGTATTGGTACATATACATATTTTCATTATAATATCATCTTAGTATCAATGTGTTTCTATTATATTTTAATTTCAAAGAAACGCCTTAGAAGGTTTGTATAAAAAGTACCTTAAATTGTCATAAATCTAACCCTAACTTTAGTTTAAATCTTAACTAATAATCCCAACCATCATTAACTTATAATTATCAATATAATATCCGGATATCAGTTTAATTCTGATATCAGTATATATCAACGTACTATTGCTATGGAGGTGTGTAGGGGGGGTAGGCCGACATCCTAGGGGGTCAGTTAATAAGAGGTGACTGCTGCACACACGCCCAGACTGGCTCGTAGTCAAAATAAGGTTGGCAAACGGTCGTTCCCGCCAGACAAGCTGGCACTCGGTGAAAACCCGAAGTTGAACCGGACAAGTAGCGATTACAGTAGAAGTCTTCGAACACGACGATAACCAAGTGACATCTTCCATCATTCATCAACGTTCACATGCTCTCTACCCAACAACACCCATCAAACCCAGTTTATGTGTTGGCAAGGTACGCTGACTTATGCTCTGTCCACTTCCTCGCCCCAACCTCCACGTAGCCGTCCACGATGGCCGACTCAGACTGCCGCAGCCGGACATTTTCCTTGACCTTCGCAACCTGCACCACCTCGGCCGCGATCCACACACGTTCGCAGTGCAGCGCCGTCTTGAGCCCCCGCGCCTGGCACAAGGCCTTGGCGCTGCTCTCGCGCTTGTTATAAGCTTCTCCACCGGAGTGTTGTCCGCTTTTGCCTCCGCCTCCGCCTCCGCTGCGTCGGGTCCTCGGTGGCTTTTGAGCTGGTGCAGATGCGTCGTCGCTCGGTTGGCCAGCGTGCACATCTCAACGTCTGCGTCGCGCAGCTTGATTTCCTCGTGCCAGTCCCTGCCCATCGTGCACATCATGGCGGCGCGCTGATCCCAGGCGTACGTTGGGATGTGGACATAGGTTTCGAACCGGCGGTATGCTGCAGCTAGAGCCGCAGGCAATGGCCACCGCTAAGGGCTTTCCAGTCTGGAATGCGAGATGGGTCACGTCACCGAGGAGGACCCAACCAGCGCTGCGGAGCGCGACTGCGTTGTGAAAAGTAGGCAGGAGGTTTCTCACGGCGACGAGGGCGGCAGTCTCTGATGGTGGGAGCGTGGGGCAGGAGCCGGGTCTGCTAGGGCGGGCATTAGCCACGACCACGGCCATGATCACGTCCACTTCAACAGCCCGCAGGTAGAGGAGGAGATGCTGTGATAAAGGCTTGCAAGAGATTCGATCCCGGCCTTGATGAGCTGGAGGGTGACGGCGAGAGTGGTGACGAGGGCGATAAAGAAGAAGGGCACCCAGGGGCTTGCCGCTCCTCCATCACATGTTTGTGATCGCGTGCTGGGAATAAGATTGGTGATAGTGTTGATAGTACTAATGCCGATGATATTGATGCTGATGGTTTTGAATACGAAGGCTGATGAGCTCTGAAGAGTGTGGTCGTAAGAGACACAATCAAGAAAGAGAAGTCATTTGAATGAACGACGCGGCAGTCCCAAATAGTTACGGCAAAGAAAAAGGCTTCCACAATCAACTATGATGGTCATAAACCATGGTGATCTGTCATGTTCAAAGAGGGAACTGCTGCAAGCATGTTTCATGTCCATTAAGATTCAGAAACTGATTTCCACATCCGAGTTCCGTGGTCACAATCCATGAAAATCTGCCAGAATAACATTAAATGCTTCCAAAGCCAAGTTTTGTGGCCACAAGATTCAGAAACGGTCTTTTGAAAGAGAATACCGCGCCAGTCGTGGCGCTCCTCATCAAGCGTTGAGACCTTTCTTCGGTAAGCCCTGGGGGAGGGGGCTGATCAATATCAAAGCGTCCGTCGTGCTGCTCGTGCCGCAGGATCCAAGCCGGACTAGGCAAGGCGGACTAGGTGAGGCCATCCATCTGGGTGGGATTGGAAATGGATGGAATTGTCTCGTTTGTTGTATGGTCAAGATGTGTGAAGATTGGGCGATTTGACAGTCTGTGTTTCTCAGTCGCATCTCCCATCACGGCTTTTTGCGTGCTTGAGCACACACACATATATATATACCTCTAAGCAAGAAAGGCTCCAATTATGAAGGCAACAGGCAAACTCAGGCAATCTGTAGTCCTATATCTACCTCCTATCTATCATTATCCGCCGCCACAATACCACATGAGTCGGACAGGGGAGCGCCGCTGTGCTACATCGTCGAGTGCGATACCATCGATCTTCTCCCTCCTCCGAGCCCCTGCCGTCGTCTCTGTCTTTAGATCTGTCCTCCTTAATGTCAGCTACATCTACTGCATCTACTTCTCCTGCCTATTGCTTCTCACAGTGGCTATCGTCTAGTTACGATCAACTCGCCTAGCTCCTTCCTGGTGCAATCTTTTGCCATGCCCATAACCGCCGCCACCTCGTCCACCGCTGCCGCAGCCAGACCTTGCTCACATCCAACACGTTATAAGGTCACGTTACAAGGCCCATTACGGTCCTCGCTGAGCTACTTGCTGTTTCGGAAGACTGAGCTGTAGTTCTTATAAGGCTCTTTGCCGTTCAACGACCTCTGGTTGTCAAAGAGGACAACGTCCCTTCGACACATGACCCCCCCAACCATCACTCCTTCAAAACCGAGTACGACAGCAGCGACCCCAGTCACAACAAGACTCACCCTATCCCGCTTGCCAGGGGACTTATGGCGGAGCTGCAAAACGCAATAGCTGAAGCTGCGCCTTTCAACCCAACGCGGTCAATCCATGCCCGCTTCGATATCCTTCTACAGTCCACCGAGGCGGGAGCGTTCTGGGGCTTCGTCTCACAATCGCGCTCGGCTTCTTGTGGTCCCCCAATGTCCTCCAACATCTCAAGTAGGCTCAAGACCGAGTCCGGCCCGTCAAATAAACACTGGCCCTGGGTTCCTTGTACCTTGCAACCTTCACACGCACAGTGCAAACTTCCACACCACGACAACCTCACCCTTTGGACAGCGCGCATCACACATCATACATCATGCCCGGACATTGTGAGCCGTCGGGAGCTCCGTTGCAACCGATTTCGCAGTCACATCAAGCATATATCTCTTCGCTAACACGTGTCATCGAAGCGATTGAGCAGCTCGCCGAAACCCACAAAATAACCTGCTCGGCGCCATCAACCAGGTCGAAGCCGTTTCCACTGACAAGCCACACTCTCTCGACATCTCCAGCATTCTCCATCGCCTGCCTGACGCCGTCATTCGCGCTCTATTGCCGCTCCTCGAATTAGACGTGAGAATGACCAGGGCAAGCTCTTCTTCAAGGCCCTCTCCGCGTCTTCCAGTCGCTGTCCGGACAAGAACGAAGCCTTTCGCATCCTATCCGGGGCCGCACACATTCGACGAACCACCGAAGCCTTCGCACGAAGCCGCAAGGTGGTCGGAATTGCCCTGCAGGACATTGAAGCCGCCTCAAAACACGTGGACAAGCTTGACAGATCATGCAGTGACTTTCAGATGCAAGATGAGGTTTCCATGATCAAACGCGATTTCCGTACACCCCAGGATGAGGCGGAAATTTCTGTGGAGGCATCGGGCTCTGGGCAGCACTACACCCGAGCAACAGATGCTGGTGACGCGCGGGAGTAAATGACGATGCTGACGATCCCAATCTGAGCACTGCAGACACTCCTGTCATTGAGACACGGAAACTGTCACCAGCGCCAGCAGCGACACGCAGAGAATCATCTAAGGGCACCGAACAGTTTGAGCAAGCGCGCTCAGGGAATTCTGCAGCCTCTCCTCAGAATCCCGACGACTCTTTCTTAGCGGATGTCAGCACGGGAGATTTCGACAACCAGGAAAGGCCAGAACCGCAACGCAGACCACTTTGACGAAGACTCCTGCTTCTTTGCTAGGCTAGGCCTCCGGAATCAGTGCTTTGATACCCTCAGCGACACTAATAACACCAGGAGCAGGGACATGACATCCGAGCCACTCGTCAGTGACACCAACGTGGATGTTTCCAGCTTGCTGCGCAAACAAACAGCATCTCCTACGTTAGCCAGTGAATGGCGTTGAGATGGACGCAATCTCGGCCAAGTTGGACGCAGCCCCAAACCCTGACACCGAAGACGTCACCACGAATGACTCCTTGGACCTAGTTCTTGATGCGGCGTTCAAAAATGTGGTAGCTGCCGTGAATCTGGTTGAGGAATACCGGGTCTCATGAGGGGTCGCATTGGGGTTTGAAACCGTAACTCAGAGGGGCGGTGCACTTATTCGAAATACATGTATGGAAGTGCAGGAGAGGTACCACTGATGGTTGAATCGTGAAAAGGACGTGATAGCAAGATGTTTGTGTTTCTTCCTTCCCATCGTGGCCACTTCGCACCCTCGAATTCCGGGCCGTGGGGTCCGTCTTAAGGTACCAAGAGATCGACCTCCCGCACCTTCGCTTTAGACTTTTACCATTCAAATTCAGCAACAACCAACTCGGCATGTCTCAAACAGAAAATCACTTTGAGAAGAGGGCATAGACACCAACCGTGCAGTCTGTCCAGGTGGCCCCTAGCCGTATTTCGATTCCTCGTCTGTCCCGTGTGCGATATGTAAATGGCATAAGTTCTCGTCTGTTCAGGCCGCTGAGCAACCCTTTCCCGGCGGTTTGATTCTCTTGCAGTCTGCTTGAACTTGCGTTCATTTTCGGAAAGTTCATTTCTTTCTCCTTCAAAATGTCCGCATGTGAACGTGCATCCGACCGTGGCTCCCGCTCTCAGCGCAGCTCCCGTCGACCACGTCCAAGTGATGACCCGGCACGGCCTCAACATCACCCGACTAGTTGATAATCTACTCGTCGTCCTCAACGATGTTAAGGTTCGGGAAACGGTCCTGGACGCGACCTACCATGACACCCAAGACCCCTGGTGGATTTTTTCTCCCTGGGGATCCCCCGTTCGGGCAACCACCAAGCCATGCACGCCCATGTCTTGGACTCGCCGGCCTTCATCCGAGAGTGCCTACCCGGCAGACCACCTCAGCCAGATCCTTTGCATCGTGTACAGTAAAGACTGGGCTACCGCAAAGCTCAAACACAGCGGCAAGCTGGTCAACGCCCAGAAGACGAGGGAGCTTGATGTGAACATCGAGGTCATTCTAGAGCTGGACCTGGAGGCCTGCAAGAATAACGGCAACATCTCCGGCATATCTTCGATGCGGAAGCCAACCAATAAAGACCCCATCTCTTCTAGCGACATCTGCCAAGGCCTTATGCTCCTGCTAATCGCCCCAGCCGACGATGACGAGGCCAAAGACGGTCGTTCCTTTCTCGCTCATGGTTACTATCTCTAATTATAATCTTGCTCCTCCATCCTTTTGATTAAAAACTCAATCCAGTGGCAAGATTCGGTGTAGGTATTGCAAGTTGCCGGAACTGTGTCGAGTTCTTGACCTCGGCGACTAAAGCCCTTTGGCTAACACCCATGCCAGGCCTTCCGAACCTGAGAGTAGGCTTCAACGAATCAAGATTGAATGTTCGCCTTTTTCTCACCCGATGAAGGAGTTATGATTTAAAGGTTGTTTAATTGTCCCTAGGCGAGGTTCTGCCTAATCATACTCAAGTCAAACATGTAAGGATTCAGGATAAGTTCAACATTGAGAATTTGAGCATTGATCCCTTGGTTTGATCTCAAGATAATGGAAAGGTGGTGTCCGCAGCCAGAATTCCAAGGTCCCAGTCACATTGATCAAATTTACATTGGAATGGCCTTAGGAGTTGTACAAGGAGAGAGACATTAAAGGAGGAAACCATAATTAGCAACGAAACTATTGAAAAGAGCACTGTAGTCGATCGCTGAATGTCAGCCTACCTAGATGAGCAAAATTACTTGACTGAAATCTATTTATACATTACTACGCATCATATTGGAAAACTTGCGAGATACCGGGCGATATTTCCTTTTTCTGAGCTGTTTCTCACTATCATACCTACCTAGAAGAAGCAGGTGCAAAAGACGCACCTTCTTTCTTCACCTCCCTAAAGTCCTACGTCGCGTCTCACGGTTTTGCTAACGCGACAGGCATCGCGTCTTGAACGCAGCCAAAACGGGAAGCCACGACTATAAAACAATACATTTTGCGCCAGTATTCAAAATCTCTCGATCCCTTCTTCAACCTCACGAATTTATCACACATTCGCTCATCCCCACATCACCACGCGCGTTAGGCGGTCATCACGTTATCCTCAAGCTCATCCATATATCCCAATGCATTAAACATACATTTCCATCATCCGTAAGGCTATTTCGCTTGGGATTCACTCACGATGGTTGGTATTCTCATTCCCAAAATTTCTCTTACCCTTCGCCTACGTTCACGAGCTGAAGATTTTGCGGTATTCCCAGAGAGCCTCCAAATCTGCCCCCTCGAAGAAGACCCTTCGCTTCGCCCTCCTTCCCGCCCACCTCGCTGCCGATCGAAACGAGTCCCCAGACCCACTCTCCCTCTCAGCCGTCACCCCGACCGCAATCCTCCGACGCCCCGACCGCGTCGTCGTCAAGACCGAAAACCCCGAGATGACTGACGATGAAACAAATGGAACCGAGCTCCCCGACTCTTCCAGCGCCATGTCTGAAGAACTAACCAATTTCAACGATGGAGAGTGGGTATTAAACCGCACTCTAAAATCTGTCATCGGTCTTCCCAATGCACATCGCCACAAGAGGGCCAAAACGCCATTCGATATTGAGGCGGTTATGGCGGAGCGCAAAGCTGAGGCAGCAGCAGCAGCACTGGTGGATTCCCGCAACACGACTCTCGATCAGGAGCCCGATATCCTGCCTTCGATTGAACTGGGCACTCGTCCAGTGGAGCAGCTTTCCAACCTTCAACACGACGCATCTCGCGCTTCTGCGTTGCGCAAAGGCCTGTTTTCACGCTCGCCAACCAAGCCTGGAGACAAGCAGACACTCGGGGACCGACCAAGCACTACTTGGGAAATTCACAGAAACTTCCTGCGTGCCTGGGAGGCCCAAAAAGATGAAGCCAGGAGGATGGCGGCGGTGATTGCGGAGGGAGAGGATGTACTTTGGGGTTGAATTTGTGATTTTGGGATTTACTCTGGGAAAGATGTGATATGGGCATCGTAATGGTATCTTGGGATCTTTAAGTCTCGCTGTTCCCTTGATGTTTTCCTGAGCTCATCCGTTTCCTGGTCTTCTTGTACGACACTATCTAATTTCCATTCTCCTTAATATTGGATGATGCTGTTGTAAATGACCTTTTGAATGTTAATATTACATAACTCTGACCATTTAGGCTGAAAGCTATGTTTATATGTGTACGGAAAGCCATTGGAGTGTTTAAAATCTGGTTTCGCCAAAAAAGAAAAGAGAAAAGGAGGTACCGATGTTTCATGAAGGGTTTTAAGCAACTGCATCAGCCTATTAAACAGGTTCATCATATTGAAGAAGTATTCACCCAACTTTAACTACGCCGTAGTCTTCATTAACATGTCCAGCTTCTTTTAATGTCGTCTTGTAGTTCAAATCTTGGTTGCGATTGTCAAAATTTGAGCCTGGATATAGCACCGGTTCCATCCCCAAGACCGTTTCGGTCACCCACACCACTAGAATTACATTGATTCCTTGAAGCAGCTACAAATTCTTCAAGCAATGAGTGCGAGAGACCCTGAGATTCCCTTAAAGTAAAATATGGATGGAAGGAAGTCTTATTACGTACACCATCTATTAATATTCACTAGCTTTAAAGAATTTTCGACGATCTTCCTGCCGTTGCTTGCCGCTATGCTTTGGACCTTTCTTTCTCTGCATTTTGAATATATGTTGCAACGAACCCTTAGTTTTCTGCACTAATTGGAAAGATCCATAACAGTCCTGAGTCTGACATTGTTCATCACTGTTTCTTCTCCACTTCCTATCACGTTCATCTTTTCTTCAACTGGCGCGCCATCGCTTGAACCTGCGAGTGGTGAAAAGATTCTTTCTGTTGTTGTGTTTCATTCAAAGATAGTTTAGAGTGCGCCGAGGTTAATATTGATCAATTCGTTTTATATTCTATGATAGTAACTGATAAGTCGGCTTTATCTCGTGGCATTTCAAGTGTCAATTTAAAGTCCAATAATGCGACGCTTGCCACAAATAGCATGCACTAAAGAGCACCATCAAATGCGGATTGAGGCGGGGACGTTAGCGACGGCAACTTGACTCCTGCTCCGTTGCTGCAAGACTATTTATTCCGTATTCTGATTCCCCTCTTACCACTTTGGCTCCCAAACGCAGATACGCAAATTTTAAAAGAATACTAAATTTAATATTGCATAGTCGTTCCTATAGACTCGTCTCTATCGGTCAATATTTTTTAACCACTGCCGGGACCGTAAACGATGGAACTATTTATAGATTAATAGAAGCAATAAGGAAGTAGGGAGGGATTAAAATAAGTCGCACGCGAACCCTTTTGCTGCTCTCCTGGGTCCGCTCGCTGTGCATCAGGACGTACTGGGAACACTTGTACCGCCAGATTGTGAGTTACCCTTCTGTTACAGCCATAGTGACATCGAACACGCCGTCCCGCGTACTCACCGGTGCGGCGGTTCAGGTTGTATTTGAAGCTTGAGAATGCTTCCGCCCTTGGAGGGGCAAGGCTGACGGTGGCGGACGGGGCCATTGTGTATAAGGCCACGGCGGCGGCAGAAGATATCGCTGCACTTGGCTGTTTAGAGAAGGCGTGAAGCGTAAGGAGGTGCCATGTTGCGCTTTATGAGGCAGTCGCTGGTGCTAAGTAGACCGATACCCTCTTCATTGATCGCTTAGCCCTTCCTGGGTTTTCTGGGAGAGTAAAGAGAACTGGAGCAAACATCGGTCTTTCTCATGACTCGGAATCAATCTCTAACATTCAATCACTGCATGTAACAAGAGCGAGACGGTCATGAACAATTTACCAGAAGCGGCACCCTTGCCACTCTACAAGACCTATATGAGCCTATATGGCTGGAACTTTCGAGCAGAATACCCACTTGCATTTGATAGAATCTTATCTCGGCCACATTATCTCTAGAAGCTCCTTCAATATCCAGCGTTCCCTGTAGGCACCAAGCATGATTGACACTCGCTCTAGAAATAGTCTTGAAGGACACGAGGAATAAACTGAGAAAATTTAGTTGAAACCGTTGTGTGAGAACACCGAAACTTCATTCCTCGTCAATATTTTAGAAATTAAGAAAGTTTCCTAATAATAATTGTATAAATATTATTACTTAATTATAACCAGAGCAAGTCATGAATCTTAACTATATAGATATTTCAAGATAAAATTATCTTCAGGGTGGCAGGCAAAATTAGTGAAAGAATATTTAGCTCTTAGTCATGACATAGTTTTTGATCAATTCCTTACTTCGACCTTCTTCAGATCCGTTCTGCTTAACACCAAAACTGTTAATAAAAGGATAGTAGAAATATTATTTTATGAGATGGATCAGGTTCTAGGCACGGGAGCAATACACACCATCTATTAACGCTTAATTACTCTCCTTCGATTTAAAAGACATGAATGTAGCAGCGCAATAGGATTCGTGGACCAGAGCCGATGCTATGTCAAGATGAATGACATACCTCACCACCGCCTTTACTATAGCGCTGCCCACCGAAGTGTTACAAACGTCATTTGGCTGCCGCAAAAAGGAAATCTCTTTTCAGGAGAGGTATTCAGGCACTAGCTCCTTCATATTTGGGCCAGGAGTTGGCGTACGGGCTCAGCAAAATAGTAGTTAGATCAGGCGTAGCTGCCCTGGTAGCGTGAAAAATAGTGGGCCTCCTTTCATACCTTTGACTACGTCCTCTATCCCTTGGCTTCAATGCCTCTTAATTCATTCCATCTTACGAGGTTAGGTGGATCCAATATAATATAAAGGTTACCAAAGGTATCAATAAGAATCGTCAAGGCGACTGTAGCTTTCTAGGTTAAGAGTTGGTAGATAATCTAGAACCAAGAATAGGGCTAGCATTCTTGAGGGAGGGCTGTCAAGAACCATGGCTACAACCATGTCGCGAGGTAGCATTCCCAAGAAATGTTCCATACTCCTTGGACTTCTTTGTTGTTTCATGCTGCTTAGCCCCAATCCATATTTTTAATCTTAGCTGCGACCCAAAACGAGCAGCTCCACGCCCCTGTAGGGCGCAAACTTAGTGGATGATTCCATCCTGCAGGTCATGGTAAGCGTAAACTATCTTAAATAAAGTATAAAAGTTTGGAAAAGGACATTCAACTTCAGAAAAGACGTCCTCATCGGCAATATCTCTGCCTCGTCTTAGCAACGCCTTTTGCATCAGCGCAATTCTTAGGAGACCGCAGCGCTGAATCTGGCAGCGCACCGATGATAGCGCGCAACGACTAACCAAGGTTAAGTAGTTATAGAAACTACTTCTAGTACTAATTAGACAGAAGTGAAACAACACCTGTGGAGTGGATGTCGGAGTATGCAGTGTTTGTTCAAAGGTGCTTGCAGGCTTCGACACAAATTCACGGCCCTTCGTCAATGTACCTTCATCTCCGGCAAATCAAATAACTTTGAAGATACTTGACGATAGTTTCATTAATGCCACGCACATGAGCGGGTCTTTCTATAGTCCGAAGATACGATCAAAGATACACACAACGGCTCCTCGGTCATCTCGGATCCAAATCGATCATGAGGAATGCTGCTTTGTGGCTGGGAAGGTCGTAAAATCTGTCTAGAAGACTATTTCCAGTGCCTTAAGACGGTAAAAGACTGTGGAAGTACTCGGCCAACCATTTAGTATTCTCAGCCTTTCGATCGCCGTCGACGATCCAAGTTGGAGGATGAGGCTGGAAAGCAACCTGAGAAAAGTGCGGTTGATGTGCTTTAGAATAAGCATTATCCTACCTGGACTAGTGGAATTTTTATTTATCATAGGTGCTTTAAGCACCGATTGGTGTAAATGCCACCAGATATCTACCTTGTAATCGCAACGTCAAGTGGGAAGATTATAGGTGTCTGTCAAACATCTGGATCCAAATGTTGCACTGGGTCACCAAAAGAGACAACCTTCCAAGCGCACGCCCCCTCAGTGACGGCCTCGTTGGCGCTGAGGATTTGGGAGCATGGCCCGCAACTGGTCCTTGGATATTAAATTGAAGTCGGGACGGACGTCTGGTTGTATGGGCTTTTTTGGCAACCAAGCGGCGGCATTTAGTTGGATTCACCACTGTGGATAGAAATTTTTGCCACGACTTTCAAGTCTGTGCTGCAGTAGGTAGGCAGGCGCCTGGGCTGTCAGTCGCCTGGCGGGACATTCGGGTTCTCGGGCTGTCAGCGGGGGCATAGGACTTGAGAGCTCCAGCATACTGACCTGGCCGACCAAGGCACGCGCTGTGGATAGCACCGTATAATCTCACGGCGCCAGGTTCTGGCCCAAGAGTTCAAATAGCCTCAAATTGAAGAATGCTTGGTCTTACGCGTGCAGTGCGCCGATGTGGGCACCCTCCTGGATAAAACGTGCCGACCATTCGAGTCATGTATGTACAATTCTTTCAATAGATAATTAAGCAGAAAAACTCTATCTTAACTATAATTTAATAAGCTTTTAGCTAATCCAAAATCGTATACACCGCTATTGCTCTTTAATAACACATTAGTCATGTTTTACAGTGTTTAATGTTTCATATTTAATAATCCTTGTTTCACTGTTGCAAATTCAACTGAAAAGCTCCAAGACCCGGCGGATGATTTAGCCGGTACTCATGTCTGATGTAGCCATAGTTTCAGAGACACCAAATGGCCTGGTAATACAAGTCTTACATCACTTGACAAGAGTCGGTAAAATGAGTACTCTGGAGACTCGCGAGGCTCATATCTACGCTTGCCGTGCTTTCCGTGTCCCACATAGCTTTTGGCCAGCAAGGGCCTCGATTCAGAATCCAGATCTCAACTGATTAATTTCTGATGGCAGAGATCAGCGTGATTGTATTACTGAATAGGGGCCCTTATTGGCTAAAAGCTATATAGGACACGGAAAGCACGGCAAGCGCAAATACGAGCCTCACGAGTTTCTACGGTACTTAAATATTGTAAAAGCCACCTCTCTCCTGCACATTTCTCAATAGCGACTGCTCCTTAACTGAACGAACAAACTCCCCTTTATATCTTGTTTATCTTTTCTCTTTATAAACAGTTTTCTCTATCATCTTAAGCTCATAAATACCAACGGAGCCATGAAGTTCGCCGCTGCGATCCTCGCCTTTCCAAGCGTAGTCCTCGCTGCCGAAGTAACCTGCTGCGCCGTTGGCGACGAATCTTCAATCAACAAGGGCGATATTGAGTATGCCATCAAAAATCGGGCGACCGAACTAGGCATTCCCGGAGGCGCCCATTACACATACAGATGGACAACGTGCGTTAATGAAGATGCCATTTCTCGACCTGCAGCCGTCATTTCCACACCTTACTGTAAGTTTCGCATGTCCTTCTTTTCGTAATACTCGCAATAGATAAAATAAATACGCCGATGTATTGGACTACGTCCTCAGGATCGGTGTACTCCTTTTCTTTTTTTCTACTCCACTATTTACCTATACCTCGCGCATAATAATAAGGCATTACTAATCCGCATTTGTAAAGTTACCACATTGAACGGTATTACCACACTAGCCGATGGTCAAGTGGAGTGTGGGGTCAATGGGCCAAGCTGGATTGTATGTCAAAATTGACGATGCAGCATTTCCCAACCAGGGCTTGCGTGGCTGGAGGTACCACGGGGTCTGCGGCACGTGCCGCACCACATGCTTCGCGCTGAATCACAGTGCAGTATTAGTGTGGGGTCGGTCTCTCAGATCTTAGGGTTATACAGCTTAAACCATAATTGATCGGGTTCGTTAATCATTGCGCTAAATCGCCGGGTGTTGTCTTAAAAGAATCTTCTGCCCATACAAGGACAATGCACGTATTTCTTATCCCAACGCACCAGCGTAAAGCCAAGGCGTGTGCGGAAGATGGATAATTAAAGGTCGATCAGCCTTCTCCCTACACCGCTGATCGCTAGTCGCATCGTATTTACAGAGCCACGCCAATACCTTGGGCTCAAAAGTTTCTATGAGAAGTTTAAACCGTGGAATTGATTGCTTGAAATTTCCTGATAACACTAGAATTGAATTATCTGTCAAGCTGGCGATGATGCGAGTATATTGGGCAATGCTGCAACCTTGTGCTAAGGCTCGCCGTACTCCATCCTTGAACATGGTGTTGGTTACTTTGGCTTTTCAGAACCACGGTCGCATACTTTTCCACCGTCAAAGGAATAGAAGCCTCCAGGCATGTGCAGCCCCATGCGCGGCCGCATCATCCCAGGTAATCGAATTGGAATTCTCTCTCAAACTGGCGGTGATGCACGCATTGTGGGTGGCGGTTCAGGATTTTTAGGCCAGGCGTTGCGGTATCATCATCACCTGCTGCCTTCCCGAAACCTAAAGTGTGTATTGGATTCAGAGCAATGTGCTCCTACGATTTCCCAAATAAGCGGCAGATTTGTTGTTCGCCCAATCACAAGAGCTCTTTACCTACCCGAGATGGGGGGGTTTTCCAAAGGGATCCATGCCTATACCCGACTTATATATAGTGGTTAAGTTTTATCTTTCTGCCTATATAATAATAAAAATAAATAGAAATTATAAAACGACTTTTAAAATCATAAAATACTAATCTTTTTAATAATATCTTAAATTACCTAAACGTTTTTTTCTTTCTTTAAATATTTAAATAATTTTTTTTTAATTATTTATTTTAAAAAAGAATTTTTTTTAAAAAAGGGAAAGAATAGTATTTTTAAATTTTATTATTTATATATCGTATTTTAGATCTTACCTGCTTCGGTAAGCCCTTATGACCTCTAAGATCACTAAACGTACATCCTTTCTGGGCACTGTTGAAACACCCCCCCTCCAGCCCGTATAGGTAGAGGAGGCCCGCAGGACCACTCCAGGCGTGTCATATTTTGGTCGGTAACTCTCAAAGATGCTGCCGGAGCGGCTGCACGGTAGTACGGGTCAATGAAATGGAAATAGCAGATCTTATTTGTTAAATAGAGGGGATATCGCCTGCTATTAGCGTGGAAGATGCTGTTAAAGACGGATGGTTTGAAAATGTCCAAAAAAGTCTCGAGCATATGAGTAGGTGACGAGGACGCGATCTTACGCTGGTTGCCAAACTAGCAACCAAGCGAGGCAATCTCGCTGGAGGCCGATGTAGAAGTCGTGTAGATCTCCTCCACAGTGCACCCAATTTTACGTGCTCAAGCGTCCAGAATTTTTATGCGGTTTGAGCAATGTGCATCTGGAGTTTGTACATGTAAGCAACAAGCCAAACATTCCTAACCTCGGAGCGACTGCTTCCGCTGCGTAGAACCGCCATCTACAAGCCACACCAAAGGAACTTTGTTCAATCTCCTCCTCAAATCCCGACCGCGAATAATGACACAGACTGAGGCATCTAGCTTAGCTATATGAGAGGTGCATAACCTTACGCTGAAGGATTGAAGCAGTTGGATGTAAACGGAACAACCAGCATGGCTGGCAGGTGCTTATGGCACTAGGCTCCTTGGCTTGTTGAGCACTCTTTGTTCGGACGTCGCTTGTCCTAAGAGCTGATGTCAAGTATCCATCCCCTAACCTTGAGACTTGGCAATGAGCTTTAGAGGCTGAGTTTTTATTTATTCCAATATACTATCGCGCAATATGTGACAGAATAGATGCTCTGCAAGGCTTGGTCTCTGCTTCTAATGCTTTGTTTGACGAAGACGTCAATGACAGCAGAATAATCAAGATAGCGGCAGATAACGACTGCGACAAGCAATTGGAAGGTTGACCGAAGCCCGCAAGATCAAGTAGCACAACATATAGCAGAGCTTACGCATAAACAACATATATGTAGATGAACGCAGCAACCCTTCAAACAACACCGACCACAATCACCACCGAGCTGGTACCGCCAATATCAATAGTATCCATATTATAGTCGATATTCTAGGTAGCATGCACGAGGACCACAAGGAGGCAATTACCTTTTTCTCCACCTACTGAATCTCGGGCTGCACACTCGCGACTTTTCAATTACAGCATGTAGCCAAGCCAGATCGAGTGGAAGCTAGGTCCCCGGAAAACAGACTTCGCCCTCTGTTACCGGCCCTCAGAGTTGCCACGCACAGTCACCGTTGAGAGAGAGAGAAAGACATCTTGACTCGCCTGCAGCAATGTCTCAAAGACAAGACAATCAAACGCAGCGTTCCTCGTATGCTGAGAATCTGCAATGCCGCCACCAGCAAGCAGAAGCATCAGCTCTACTCCCTGGCTGAGAGATCTGCTATACGGGGAAGTAAGCGGATCTGTTGCAAGGTGGCACGAGCATCATCATCTCTCTCGTTTCCGAGGGGTCATATGTTTGGGCCGGGGCCGCAACGCCGAGCGACCCAGCGCGACAGCATCCCTGTACCTCCTGACGTCGGCAGTGCAGAGATGAGTGTCCGATATTGCTCGCCCGACACTGATACGGTGACTCAGAGACGTCACCGCAGCGATGGCGGCTTCAGTGACAGAAAGAGTATTCAGCTTCCATTGATCAGCAGCCTGAATCCAGGATTGCTTTGCGTCCTCAATGGCGCGGAACAACGTCGGGAGACGTGACGCCAGTACTGGACTCGAATCCGGAAAACCTTCATCGGGAACTTCCGCTGCTTGTGCTGCTTCTAGTGCTTCTAGTGCTACTGCTCGGGATTGGAACGGCACTGTCGTCGACTACAGAGACGCCACGGCCGCATCACCCCGTGCCTTGGGCAACTCACCTGGAGGCACCATTGGCTCCAGGTCCTGTTGTTGGTTGAGCCATGCCGCGACATGGTGTCCCATACGCCCCGGCAACGATATCGGCGGAACGGAGACCGGGGATGGGTAGATGGCGGTTTGTTGTGTTCGGTCTAGTTCACAGCGTGCTAGTGGGAAATCAGGGCGTTTAGTCAGCTCCTCGTTTTCATCGTGTTCCTGTTCCTCGACGTTGGGAAGAGATTGACGTAAGGCCTCCGTAGGTGCCTTTCCACGCCGTCGCCATCTGGATCGAGCGCCGAGATTGCTGCTTGAATCGTTGGAGAAGACGACGTCGCCATCCGATAGCAACTGCATGGCATGGAGAGAGTTCTTCCAGGCTCTTAAAGCCGGTGTTAGAGATGCTCTGCTGCCTTGCTTGGATTTCGATTTGGCGTAAGACGGGTTAAAGCTGGTCGTCGACATCCCGCTAGATGCAAACGCGTGCGATGAGTCGGTCAAACAGACAAAGTGTGGATCAAAGTCTGTTGTGATCACGCCATATGCCGAAGAATCTCGGTCTTGGGCTCATCAGGTGGGAACGGTAGCAATTGTTACAGAGGGAGGCTAGTACGTGGGATCAATACTCATGGTAGACGTAGCAAGGTTGATGAGGCTCGACGCCTTCTTCACCCCCTCCTTACTAACTGGAGGACTAACGGAGGGGGGTTGAGTGTCGCCATCCCAGTCGGATTTGGTCCACGATGCGTTCCATTTTGCCTAAAACCAATTGCCGTCCTTGCGCTTCACGACGGCCTGATCCTTAACAAACTGATCAAACTTGGCTTGAAAAGCGCACTGCACTTGGGCATACACGATTGCTGCGTACTCATCCTTAGAATGGACGTAATTAATTTTGATAAGGAGCTTTTGGAAGTTAAACTGGCTCTAAGATCGCTGGGCAGGCTTTTATCGGGCGAGATGGCGGAACAAAGCGAGGTGCGCGCCAATGTATTATACGAGCCTCTTACTTTTCTGCCCTCTTGAAGAACTGGTGAGGGGTATAATTTCAACTTACTGAATGAGAATGTTAGCATGGGACTGGAAGCGGATGGCTCAAGACGATGTTGGAGATAACCTCGGCAGTGTTATTTCTGCACATTTTGTTTGATCTCGGAGCTGGTGGCCTTGGAGCTGTTAAAAGAGAGAGTGGGAGAGCTAGAGGGCGAGAGGGCAAGAGTTTAAGCCTACAGGATTCCAAAAGTTCAAAATTTCAAGCACACAAGAGTGCCAGAGAGGAAGAGAGTGAGGAAGGAAGAGAGAGAGAAGTTGAGGGGAGAAGAGAGACGAGGAGAAATAATGAGATATGGGAGCATGTCATTCCTGAACATGAGGGGTAAATTCAAACGAAGAGGAGGGTTCTTGACCAACGAGAAAACGAACAGCCACGCTGATAGAGAGCCGCGTCTGGCGGACAGCGTGTAAGTCAAGAAGTTGAGACAATCCTCCATCTTGCGTTGAAGACTGAATGAAGAGTGGGCATGATGCGGAGTGATATGAGTAAACTCCGAAACCAAGCATGAGGTTCGTGCAGGATTCCTAGGGGCAGGAGGAGGCGGAGGCGGTCGGGGAGTTCGTCCGGGGTTCCTGCGATGCAATTGGACGTGCAAGACCCGCCGGTTCGTATGAGTTGTCCCTCATGATTCTACGGCAACGTAACGATGGGGCATTTCATGCAATTCAGGTGGGTGGAAACGAAGATCATAATAGAAACCCAATGACGGATGGTCGAGTGGTTCATCAGAGAGGATGGCGCATGTGTCGGACGCAGGATATGAACACTATTCAGTCCAACTCCCTCTCCAACTTTCTTTTCAACTGTCTCTCCAACTCTCCCACCAATTCTCTCCCCAAACCCCTCTCTTACCAATCCCAACCATCTTTACCAAAAGTCTTCTCTTTCTTGCCTCAAGCACGATCGAGTTGGCATGTCAGCACTAAGTATCGCTCCGCAAAGCCACAGCTTAGTGCTGTACACGCAAGGCGATCACAGGCTGGTGAGCACATTCCCATGTGTTTGTCGGAGACTGAGCGTTTTCGGCAGAAGGAATGGTTCTCTTTGATTCCACTGTGACGATGTGCTGCAATTTCGAGTGTAGTTGAATAACTGCGTAGCAGAAAACCAGTTCGCCCAGCCTCGATGTCTTTCGGGAAATCGAAGGCCTTTAGACACACTCTCGCTTTAGATGACTAATGCGAAGCGTTTCTGGTAAACGGTATGGTTCTCTTTGGATCTGTGGAGATGATGCGCTACGATTTGAGTGTAGTTGACTAACTCTGCCGGGCAAGAAACCAAAAACCTCTAACCTCCCCGTCTTCCAGGGCTTGTCCGGATCGTTCAAGAGCATCGACGAGCCCGTAAATACGAAACGAATAGGTGAGGATGCGTCGTGGCGGGCGATCTAGGCGAGTGACATGAGAAGAGAGAGATTGCCTTGTGGCTGCCGACGCCAGCGATTCTCTCTTCCACGGAACGAGCTCCTAGGTCGCCCAACCGCGCGATCCAATATCCTGAGCTACCCACGCCCTTGTATTGCGGACTGTTCACGCATCGCGTCCCGTTCGTCTGGATCGCCCCGATTGTCTCATTTGCCTCGTGTCGTCTTCCGCAACCACGTCCCGTATCCTCAATGCAACGATCATGCTGCCTCACCCACACTCCTCCGTAGTCCGTCATCTTGTTTCGTACCGTCAATCGGTACGGGGAACGCCAGCCAAGACGCTCTACCGCTCGAAACAAACAACTACACAACCACACGCGTCCGCACTCAAGTGTCGTATCCTCATTGGAATGGCTACGGCAAGGGGCGCCAGGCAAGACGCCTTACCATTCGAGGCAAACAACCACACACTCTTTTATTCACTCATTCACGTGCCCTTATTACGTACCCACACAATCCCACGCGTTCAGATGATGTGTACGCCGTGAGCCTGGTCGAGGCGTGCAAGGTGGCGGTCTGGCCAGCTATGACTTTGCGCCCGCGCCGGACTCCAATGTACACAGAACTTCGCAACCGTGGAAGTGAGGCGATCTTGGTATGGGACTGGGGGGGTAGCAAGGGCGGCGTGGTCTATTGGGGGTGGTTGGTGGCTTGATTTGTATTCCAAGGTATCGGGTATCTCGGTTAACCTGCCGTGCGCCGTTTGCACGCGTCGGGGTTGGTCTGGCCAGCCGACTTCGACGTAGTCAACGGGTTAGCATGGCAGGTAAAGGATCCAAGAGAAGGCGGTAGAATAGTGGATAAAAACAACTCCATAAACATGTCCATCATACGGTGCCGTCGTCCGACCTCGGACGTTGCTGTCGAAGCCCAATGCTTAGCCTTGCGGTTTTCCTTGATGTTTCTTATGTAGAGCTGCCACTCGGGTTCGTGAAGCAGGCCCTCGAGCGTGGCAATGCTGATGTCGCGGTCTCGGATACGTTGCCTGCAGTGTGCCGAGAACGACAGGCAAATGGGAACATACATACCAGACCACAAACTAGTCCACTCGCGGGCCAACTCGGGGCGGGCAGAAATCCTCACACCGATAGGCTCGGGAGGCGCGCTCTGTTTCTGTGTCTCCGCTGTCGCCGTGGAGTCCCGAGGGAAGAAACATAAAAGCAGATGGTAGATGCTGAACTTCCACGGAGAGTGGCCCATGTGCCCTTTTCTGGACCCTGCGTCCGCCTCATTGCCTGCCTTCTCCGCCTTTACCTTGACGAGAAGGTCAAACGCCGCGTGAATGTTGCGAAGGTGGGCCGCCCGGGGCGACCTTTCCTGTTCCTGTGCTTGATCTGGCCTCCGAATCTCATCCACCTGGAGCGACTGCAGCATGCAAGCTGTGACTCTAGGCAATCCATGGCTTGATTCAATTCGATGGCGTCGGGTTCGAGCGTGATGGTCGTCGATGAGAGAATCCACTTGTGCCATGGGGCAGTAACCAGTGCGGCTGGGTCTTGGCCGTGGCGCTGGGGCTCTAAAGTCGGTGGCAATAAGGTAATTGGTGGAGGCATGAAGCCGCTGTCGTTCCTATGTTCATCTTCCCTGTCTTCCTTGTCTTCCTTGTCTTCCTTATCTTGCCATTCCTCATCCGCATCCTCGAAACGGCAAAGCGTGGCAATGCAACCGAGGGAGATGTCGTACAAACGAATTGCCAGCTGGTTGTGAGAGCCCGTCCAGCCGTGCAGCGACGACGAGTTCCACAACGGGGCTGCCGTTTCTGCTTCGCCTTGACTGTCGTCTCTGAGGTCCCGAGGGGGCATGGACAATGGTGGGACGGCGTTCGCCGCGACCAACGCAACGCGTAGATCTTCGTCTTGCTTCAGTGCAGATGTTATCCGCTGCGAAAGGACCCTCGAAGACTTTGTCGGGTCGTCAACTAATGTAAAATCGGCACGCGTTGGCTCCGGGTCGGTAAGGCAGGGCAGAGCATATGTTTTGAAGACGGTCTGAATGGGACCAAGGAGAGGTCCGGCTTAAACGAGGAGGAGGGGCAGTTGAGTGATGTATCGCAGGAGCTCAAGACGGCCGTCAGTTAGGTGAAGATGGCCGTTGGCAGCAGCTGAGTAGGAAACCTCAGGGCTCGGGTAGGACAGGAAAAGACGAACGACGCTTGGAGCCAGCGGCGAGTCCATGTAATCGGAGGAGGGGGGAACTTTCGCATCAAGACTGAGGATCCCCTCGGCGAGCCATTGCCCGAGGTAGTAGACATGGATGGCGGTGGGCGAAATCGTTGCGTTGATATTGACAAGGAGGTCGACGGCGTCTACGAGCCGAGTAAGGACAGCGGTACACACTTGCAGCGGGGGACTGTTGTCGGCGTCAAAGTCAAAGTTCAAGCTGAAGTCTGTCGAGCTTGATATGGGTTTTGGTGCCCGTGGTGTGCAAAAGGGGGCAGCAGACTGACTCGGTGATGCTTTTGAGGCGGCGCACGAGGGCGAGGGAATGACGTTCTCTCTCGGGGTACAAGTCTTGTTTGATATCTGAAAATAGTATTAGATCCAGAGGGTTGTAGGCATGGAGAAGATTATTGATGGGTCGGTGAACAGGGATGGCGAGGGTGACATGGCGTTGAAAGGCCGGCAGCGAAGCAGACGCCAAAGCCGTGGCGGCAAAGAAGAAAAGGGCGGCAGATATAGCAAGGCGGGCCATATAACGCAGCCATGACCGGTTGGATTTAGCCGCCCCGCCGGGGGGGGGAGGGGGGGGCGCCGAGAAGAGAGCCAGGCTGTTGGAAGCGGCGGCGGCGTTGAGATAGCCGTCGTCGTCATCATCACCACCGTTGATTGGACCATCCTTGTCGTAACGAGGGGAGGAAGGTTTAAAATCGCCAATATGATCGACATCGTCGTCATCGGCAAGGGAATACAGGTTGACGACTTCCGTCAGCCGGACCTTCCCGTAGGACCGTCTTGGAATGCCTGGGTGTGGGGCATTAATAGAGTAGACGGAGCCAACGTCGTGGAAATGGATGACGAGGCTCTGTCTCTAGCGCATCGTCAGCTTCGCTTAGTTTCGCGGGGAAGCATCAGATGGGATCAGATGGGGACCAGATATAGATCAGAGGAACAACCCAGACGGGGGAAGAAGGTTTACCAGCGCGCTTCAACAAATGGACCCACGATGTCACTCGCAAGGGCTTCCGCTGCGCCCAGGAAATCGCGTTCGTGGCCCGCGCAGACAGCCGCGACCCGTCTACCACCGTTTCCACCATGATATGATCCTAGCTATATGGAGTCAACCTTGGATAAGCCTATCTCCATCACGCCAACACCGCCAAGCTTCAGAGTTGGACGACCGAGAATGTCCGATTGGAAGATGTCGCAAACCTCCTTGGAGGAGACCGTTGTTGAGAAAGCCACTGGAAAGGACCTTGGCTGAGCTTAAACATAAAAGACGCGGTCAAGTCGAGGTAGCCAGTTTTTAGAAAAGTGGACGGCAATTCAGACGCTCAAGCAGTGGTAGGCACAGTCTCTCCCCCTGAGGGGGGCCTTGGTAAGTTTGTCACATTTGGATTTTCAATCCGTGGTTCGTCATGCCGACCCTACTCTGCGTCTTCCACGCCGTACGCTTGATAAAGTACAACTTGTCGATGATGATGTTCTCAAAACTCGCCCAAAACCAAAACGAAGTCGAGAGATTCCGAACGACATTTTTGCTTAATTCCTTGACCTCTCCGCTGTCTGAGAGCTGGAGGTTGGTCTGGACCACTTTGAGCGTGGTTTTTTTTTTTTTTTTGAGGTGCGTTAGTGAAGAGATATGGGGCACATGAGCGAATGACTCCTTGATTCCGTGACGGATGTGTAGGATTTGAGCCAGAATCCAGGCCAAACCTAAGCGCTTCAAGTATAGATGTATACGAAGTGGAAGGCCCATTTACGGTGTTGTCGTGGAGTCCATCTCTTGCAGCTGAACGCATCACTGAGGGAGTACGCCTGGATATATTCTTTCATTTACTCAAGACATCGCTCATGAGACCTGGTGGATATTGCCACGAAATGGGCTGATAAGCTGGTGAGGCAGAGCATCATGTGGATACCATGCGAGTCAGACAAATGCGTCTAGACATAAGGGCACGTCAGACAGACCCGCTGAATGCCCTCGTTGAGGCAGAAAAATCAAACTACAATCGAGATGTCAATTCCTATAAGCTGTTGAATATGCTAACTCGTGACAGATACTTAGCAAGCTAGTTTGGACCCTCATATAGATCATTCCTGGATGTTCCAACCAATTAGTTAGGTGTGTCTTCTACTTGCCAGTTGAGAGGCTTGAATGTGTCTCCAGCCCCAGGGCGATTGCCCGTGCATGTTGCGATAAAATGTTAATGCAGATCATAACTCGAACTTGAATCTAATCGATACGTTATTATTTACGATGTAGGATGTATAGTTTTCATTTAGAATCTGTCATTTACATCTTTGATTACAGATTATCGCCGTACCTACCAATAGTGTGCTTGGTCGCGATTCCTTATTTTCTTTGGAGAAAAGAAGAGAATCCATTTTGGGCAGGGTCTTGCCAAGTGATATAAATAAATAGCGTTCGGCGGTTTCGGGCTCCGGAGACATCAATAATTTGAAACTCAAAAGACGGAGGATGAAGATGAAAGCAACGACATCTAGTGAAGTCGTGGATAGACCTGAAAGGCCATGTGACCGGGTGCATTGCCCAAAAGACAGATCGTCTGTCCGACTTCGTTCAACTAGGTCATCAAGCTACATCCGGTAAGGTAAGCTAAGGTACTCCGCAAACATGCCTTCATTTTGCACCGAGGCCGCCGACAGCCCGCAATCCAAGGCATTTAAGGAAGGCATCGGAGCCACGACGCCCGGGTACCACATTCGCCACACGTGGCTGTGCGCTGGACCTCCTGCGACAGGAAAGCTTTTCGTGTACTACGTAAGCAAGCACTCCGTGTGGGGGCGCTGAAGCGGGAGATGTGTAGCGAGAGATGTGTGGCGAGAGATGTGTGGCGCACAGCGGTTGGTGGCTGAGGCATGTTCATCAAAGGGTCCGTGAGCCGAGGCGCTCCACTCGACGCGTCGAGGCGCAGCACCGCGTCGAGTGCTTCTCCTCTCTACACCAACAACAAATAGCCATCTTCTATCATCGCAACACATCACTTATCATCATGTCCGGTACTGCAGCCGATAGCCAACTGGCAAAGCAAGCTCGGGCCGCTCACGCGCGTGCTGTCAGAGTCGCCAATAAGGAGAAGAGGGAGAAGCTCAAGGCAGCCAGAGTCGAACGCATGGCGCGTGCCCGCGCCGCAAAGAAAACTTGAAGTCGGCGCATTCTTGTTGAATGAAGCAGGAAACACGATGCTAACTTTTATCGCAGAGTGCATAGACTTTGGGGGATAGGTTGGAAATGAAGCCATGATGTACGTTCAAGTGGACTGGTTGTTGGGTAGGAGGACATTCCTGAGATTTATAGAAATATGTAGACAGTGGAAAAGAGGGTCCTGCAGCAGCGTTGTCAAGATCCTAGCAAACAGTCTAGCTGGAATTAGCTGCACGAGTGATGACTTGCTTGTGGGTTGGTTTGCGGTGGGCAGCCAACAAGGATCTCATCACAGGGCCTTTGGGCTTTGGCTTCTTATCAACATCTAGCATGGAAGCTTGAACCATTATATTGCATATTATCAATGAGCGTCGCGTCTGACGCTTGATGTTTGATTGTGTTGCCGCGCCGTAATCGGCCGTCCAAGTAGAGGAAGTGAGGAATTAACGCCTTCGCGCTTTCATCTTTCGATAGGGAAAGGAGCAAGGCAGAAGGATTCTGGGCTAGGTTATCGGCCGCTGGGGTTGCGTGGTTTTCTTTGTCAATATTTTAAGAGATGACTCCAACTTGTCCTATCAACCCTTCAAGACCATGGCATCAAGCTCGTAGGGCTGGCGCGAGGGACCGGCGCGGAGGCCCCCGCTACGGGTCCGCTATCTATGGAGTTGGCTGCAAACTCGCCGCATGGACCTTGATCTGTGAAAAGCCACTCTTGATAGATGTTGGCGGGGATACGCCTGTGGTTATCCAAGTGCGGAGTCGTGTCTTGAGCGACTCAATTCACCTTGAACCTATGGGCTATAATGAACAATGAAGCGACGACCTAGAAATCTAACTTATAACCAACTGAATTGAGGGGTATCATTTCTGTAAAACATGACGCTTGATGCAATGCAATACAATGCTCTAATCATAGACCTGCCGACCCAAAACCCTCAAACTGGTTCTACCTACGCCATTCAGCCAGAGCGTGCCGGGTGCAGGTCTAGCGGATCCGAAGGTAGACGATGCCGCGATCTCTTCTCCTCTCTCGAAACAGTATCCGCGTTTGTTGGGCCGCTTTCACTCGAGTGTGGCGAGCGCGGTCCTCTCTGTAACATCCCGAAAAGACGGTTATCGGATGACGTGATCGCTGCGTAATCTTACCCGACTTTCGTAGATAGACTCCCGTCCTTCTCTGGCTCCTTAGGCGCCATGAGCTCTTCCAACGTCACCCGTGTAGACGACACACCGTGGAAATTTTCTAATCGTTTAGCCGGCGACACCAATGCCATCTCGTCGGCATGTTCAGGCGGAAGCAGACGCCTCTTCGTCGCCTGGGGCGGAGTTTTCTGTTTCGCGCATTCCCCAAAGTTGATGAAGTTTTGCTCGTTCAAACCCAGGATCGACTCCAAAGCGCCAAAGGCAGAATGAGCATACGTCTGCACGGCCTCCCAAAGCCTGAGTTTTGGCGGCTAGTAGGCACCGCCCTCGGCCTCATCAGTATATGTTTCGCAATGGTCCGCATCGTCGCCAGAGACCTGCCAATTCTGGTATTGAACATCGTAGAAGTCCACCAGACAGCTAAGCATCCGAACCCGCTGATATGTGATCGGGTGACGCAGGGTGTAAAACTGTTCTGCGTGCTTCGGGAAATGAGTCTCATCGGGGAGCACCGGGCCCTCGTCACGGAGCGAGACGATGAGTTCGATAGGTAAGGTAGGATTTCCCAGCTTCTGGTTCCTGATGTAGGCCAGGATCTCTACTCGTGTTTCGCTTCCGAATCGTCAATCCGATTGAGGTTTCTCTTCTCGGTGGCATCGATGCATTACTGAATAAACGTGCGGATCGACGCGAGCTCGTGGTTGAGCTGGTGGTCTCGAATGTTTCTAGAATCAAAGTATCCCTGACTCCTCAGTTTATCCGTAGGATGCGCCTAATTATCAAGAGTCATTAGGGTCACGTGCTATCCAGGGCCGCTCAAAACAAGCGGAGAAAAGGGTCTGCGCAGGCGGTAGCACACAATAAAAGTGTTAACTTAACACATACACACACCCAAATTAGCCCATATTAATAAGCCGACCTTAATTTAAGAGAAGTGGGCTAGCTATATATTCAAAGAAGCTTTTTTGTCAAAACGAACCGATGCTTTATAAAATTATAATAAACTTAATATTTTTATTAAATTCTTAAGTTTAACTTTTTTTCGTTTACAGTTTTATTTAAATTCTTAATTTGTATTAAAGTAAATATAATTATATAGTATATATAATTATATAACGTACATACATAGCGAGTCGCCTATCATAGCGAGTCGCCCACTTCTAAATACCCTTCTATTATTTATGTAAGTTAATTAAGCTATATCGTACGAAATTAATTAGAACTACTTATTAGCCTTTTCTTTAGAAGTCTCTTAAATTACCTAATATATTTATATATTATATCTAGTCTTTTTATAGTTATTATATTACCGCCCGCGCGATTTAACCCCCTCTATATAAGCATCCTTTTAATATATATTTTCGCTTTTAATATTAATAACCTTTTTTTTTATTTAGATTACCTCGGCCTTAGTAGCATTAAGTGAGCTTTTAAGACGTAATTATATTTTTTTAGCCCTCCGGCGTTTATTTAATATCTTATTTACCATATAAAGCCCGCGGCACTTAGTTTTAATAAAAGCTAGTTTATATACTAATTTATTAATATTTTTAGCTTATAAGTTAATAACTTTATATAAATATATTAGTAAGCTATGTTAATAGTTATGAATCCGTTTTTTAAGTAAAATAGAGCTTTGTATGGCGTTATATGCTGTAGTTAGTGTTTTTAGGTCTTAAGAGCCCTAGCTATTTAAACGTAAATTAAATAGTATTAGCGTTTTTAGTTTAAAATCTAAGCGGGAAATAACTATTTTTGGGTTAAAAAGTATAATTCTAGCCTATTTAAAACTAGTTTATACGTTTTTTTTACTTATTAAAATAAAAAAGGCTATTTTAAAAGTAAAAAAGAAGTCGTTTTTAATAATATATATAATTTATATCCGTATTATTTTTTTAATTTTTTTACCGTACGAAGCTTTTAACGGGCTAAAATAATTAATATTAAAAAGCTAAAGCTCGTACGATAAATATAAAGGTATATAAAAAGCGATAATACTACGCTCTTTATAATAATTATCGAATTTGGTCGATTTATAGTTATTATAGCTATTAAAGATTAAGAGCCGCTTAACACTTTTCGTACGAAATTTTATATATTTTTTAAAATATTTTAATTAATTTAGGCCGATCTTATTTATAGTCTATCTATTTTTACTAAAGTGGATATATTATTTAGGGGGGAATTAGCTATTAATATATTATAAAAAGAGGTGATATTTACTTTTTATAATAACGTATAAAAGCAGCGCCTAGTTATCCATATATATACCTTAAATAACAGAAACCTATTCTCGATTATTAAATTATTTTATACGAGGCCTTTTATAACGATTAAAAATTATAATAACTTTTATATACGAAAGTATTCTTATTAAAAAGCCCGTTTTATTAAAATTATAAATATTATAATCGTATATTTCGTACTTTATAATCGTATTTTATACAAAAGTAAACTAAGTTTAAATAATTATAAGATCCTTAGCTAATACTTTTTAATAATCGATTTTATATTAAAAACGCGTCTTTAGTTATAGTTAACGTTATATAAAGTTCTTTACCTATCGCGGTCCGATACGCATCGCGTCGCGTTTAATAAAAAAATAATTAGCTATATTTTATACGTCGTTAAGTTACGATAGAAATCCTTAATTAATTAAGTTAATAATTCGTTCGAGAATCACGGTTTTTTTTAAAGAAATTATTTTTTTTAAATTCGTACGAGTTTTATATCAAAATAATAAGCTAGCGCGTCGATCGCGAAGTATTATTTTTAAAATATTATAAATAAAAGTTACTTTTCGTATAGATAAATTTAGGTCTTTTTTAATAGTTTAAAATATAAAAATAATACGACTTTTATTTAAAAAAGAATCTATAATCGTACGTAAAGAAAAATAGTTATTAAGATGGAAGGTATAGAAGGAAAGGAAAGTGGGCGACTCGCTATAATAGGCGACTCGCTATGCATGTACGTTAGTATATATATATATATATAAATCTTTAATAATTAATTTTTAAACTAATATTTAGAAATTTATTTACTAAACTTAATTTTGCTTTTTAGTTCAATTAAAATAAAACAGAAAGTTAAATAATTAATAAATATATAAAATATAAACTAATTATTTAGCTAAGTATATTTTATAATTAATATACGTTGTAAAATAAAATGTTGAATTAAATTTAATGTTTATTAAAACTCTATTACCGAGATCCGATGCTAGACTAACGAATCGATTAAAGCACCTATACAGTCAAAAAGAATTACTTGCCCTTGCGCTATTTGCAGTAACAGATCAGTACAGCAGCCCGAGGGCCTATGTAGGCCACTCTGATAAGATTCTTCAGGGTTCAGATGGCCTCTGACCAGCGGGGTGTTTCCCGCACAGCTTGCGTCATTTGGCAATCACGGCGATTCCAGGCGTAGCTACAGGGACGGCGTCTACTACAGTCCATGCAGCCCGAATCCTTAATACTGGAATCTGGTCCACAAGAATTGATGTAGAGGTTTCGCGTAAAGCAACAAGAACTTTCAAGGGGATCTCCCGTGAACAAGGGCCTACTTGAGTTTCTTCGTGCGTCTTTTAGGCTAACATCAACGCCTTGCAATTGCGGGTCGCGACCAATGATTTAGACTCATTTAATTAGTGTGTTTCTAGATATAGAAATCTTCGACCTCTTATGAGCATCCCAAACTTTTACTAAGTAGTAATGCTGCAGTACGGTACGGACTTAAAAGTCTGCGTTCAGTAATGCAGGAGTAGTATCATTTCTCTCTTTCTTGAGCCCTGAAGGTGTAGGCCCTTCCTAATATCTAAGTTACAAAGGAATTCAAACAATCTTCCGCTTAGATACCTGTGTGTCAGCTAAGTCGCAGCTTCAAGTGTTTCCCGAAATCGAGAAACTTGAGCACCTAAGCGGTGCACTTTATCTGCGTCTGCTGGTTGCCTTGCAAGATCCATAACGAAGTCTTCGTGGAGCTGCGACAAGTCATCAACATGGCCCGATAGCGAAGAACAGATCGACTGTAGCCTGTCATTTTTCCTTCTTTGGCGCTGTAGCTCTTGTCGAAGATCCTTCAAGATTCTCTGCAGTTCTGAGTTAATAACTTCTCTTGCTGCAAATCTCGAGTCATCCACAAGATCAGGGAAGTCTTCCGTGAACAGAAGGCCAGATTCGTTTGGCTGTATAGTCTCCATCTGAGGGTAGCGCTCTTGTGCAAAGTCGGAAAGGCCAAACGGCCCACCCGGTCGCGATTCCAATCCAGGCGCCGCATCATGGTTATTGAAATGACTAGCTTCTGACCACAGATGTTCCACATCGGCATCAAAATCGGCATTCCCGGAAGTGACTCCCGACGAAGTCATTTCACCAATAGCAAAATTGCCATCGTTCTCTGCGAATTGAGACTGCTGAGTTATGTCCAGAATATCCATGTCGGTTTCCTGATGCGCTGGACAAGTCTCAGGTTCGGCAGGCGTTGTTCGGTGACCCAGATGAAGGGCAGCTGGATAGTGAACTGGCAGGACCGCTCTGAGATCATAATCTATTCCTCGTTGGTCAAATGGTCTTTTCAGAAGATAAAACGAAGCACTTACATGGATTGTACGTTTTGTCAAGCCCCTCAGGATTACCCATAGATAACTGAGGAAAAAGGTAGTGAAAAATCTTGAACCAATTTTCTTCAGGATTTTCACTGCTGAACTTTCTCTTCATAAGCTTCTCTTGTTCAACAGTCATCCAATCATTGCGCTTTTGTAGAACCGCTTGACAACGTTCCATCGCCTCATGACGGGCCTTTTTGTCCTGATTCTCGAATCTTCTCAAGCATCTCCCGCAATGCAGGGACTTATTATGAAAGGTCAAAACGTGCTGTCTGCGTCAGGACAGTTAGGCAGCTTCATTGACTGTGGAATCAAGGCAACTTACTTCACTCGATGAACAGTTTCGAACCCCCCACGGGGGTTGCGACCACTAGGGAAAGAGCATTGAGGCGATGCTTCGACATCATATTTTTGAAACGGACAGGCGAATCGTGGGAACTCGGCCGTGGCGAGATGCACCTTCAAAGTTCTCTTGCCATTGCCACCATCCTCATTGTCAGAGTTACCATCCTCTCCAGGCAGTCGCCGTCTTTTGCTCCGTGTGGGACCCGAGGCAAGAAGACTCAGGCTTTGATAACTTGAATCTTCCGAGACACTCTGACCAGATCCTGTGCCGGCTGAGGTTGACATCGAGCCCGAATTGGTGCCCATCCCAGTTTGCATCTTGGTAGGAAATTCATTCCTCTTGATCCATCTGAGAGGCCTTTCAAAACGAGTACTGTCCTGCTCTTCAGGTTCGGTCCAATCGTCATCTTCAGATGCGCTGAAAGACGAGTGACTGCCTTCATCATCTTCATCAGAGGCAACACCCAAATTTTCGTTGGTGTATTGGGAGACCTGTTCTTCAGCATGACCTGACGACCTGTTCTCCCTGTAAGCTCCATCGTCTAGTGAACGTGCTGTTGCACGATTCCACGGAATGGGCTGCTCGGCCTTCCGTATCGATGGAGATGTCGACATTCGGGTTTTTTCTGTAGGACCGGCAATTGGCAGTTTCCGAATGGTGCTTGGTTCCTGCGACGGCAAATGTTGAGTTGTCACGAAAGGCGTGCTTTTTTGCAACAGGAACCATCCAGGGGGACCTCTCAGATCTCCGAATGGCTGTTTGTGGAGGGTATCGGCAGCGGGAAGCCTGAATTGCATCTTCGTTACCTCCTTTGTGGGCAATGCGTCTCGTGTGCTTCTTTCTGGCTCCACAAGACAACTTGACTTTGTGTTGTGACTGCAGACACCAAATTGCCCCAGGAAAGCCCTCATGTCCTCCAGATCTTGAGGTTTCGAGTCTAGTGTTGTCTTGGAGTAAAGAGAGGGGCATGATGGAACTTTAGTGCCGGACTCTTCGCTGTTGGCGTCATTGCGGACTCTCCAGATAGGCTCTTGCCAGTCCCAATTGTTGCGATCTTTAATCGGTATATAGCCGCAATTTGGTTGCATCATGTCAAGACTTGGCTCTTTGATCGGAATTGAAATCGGCTCAGGCTCCGGTTCCAGGCAGTGCAGACCATGATGGGCAGGACTGAAGCACTCGGGCTCTTGCAAAGACAAGGAATTAAGTTCAATCTATCGGAGTATCCATGTTAGAGATCAATCTTATTTCCAGATTCAGAACACAGGAGTTGTGATTACCATGGCTGAGTATCTCTGGGATTAATCAGAGGTGGGAAAGCGATTGTACTAGCTTATGGGTGCGATACCAGTGACTGACTTTGTGACAGCACATAGGTGGCTCAAATCATTTATGCTTGCTCAGTATCGCGGAAAAAGCAAAAATGCGTGCCTTGCACACCGACAATTGTGACTTGCATGGGCTGCTTATGCAGCTTATAGGGGGCGACAAGACCACCGGAGTCATGGACCACTTGCAATTCCCATGCCAAGCCAAGCTTGTAGCGCCGCAACCTTGATGAAACTCGGGTTATCTGCATTCGAGGGCGTTTGCGACCGGCGCACCCCTCATGGCGCGCACTGCAGTTATGTGCGCGCGCCAACCTAAGCGTCTTTGGTCCTGGGCACTGATCTGCGCACAGCAGTACAAAATCGAACCAGGAAGCTGGAAGTAGAATGTTTTTGAAGTATTTTCATCCATCTGGTATCAACTTTCCACCTACGAAAGGCGCGAATATTTCCACATTCAGTTTCAGGCCCGTGACAATTAATTTCAACGTGCCCTATGGGCAAACCTAACATCCTTTTCAAATCCCTATATGTTATTCGACTCTCCCTTTGGCAGTTTGTAACGGCAATAACATCGCCATGAAGCCATCGCAACAACTAGCGGAAGACTACCCGTCAATCCTGCACCTGATTTTTGAGGATCCTGTAATTACGCGCGGTACTTCACTTCTGTCTCCTGATGTTCGTCAGTCAGGAGCGCAAGAGCAAGATAGGTACAACCTCCACTGCGCTGAACACCCCCTTCACTTTTCGTATGAGATTTGTGGACGGAACTTGAAGGCCGAGCTGATGTAAAGATAGTCTCATTGAAGGCTGGCGAGTGAAAACAACCCTCGATTCAAGCACCAACGCTATTTATCTAGGGGTTTCTTCTTCAGTGATGGAAATTCATACTTCTCCCCAACTCGCAATGGAAGATGATGAGAGCCATGTTTGCTGCAGACAAGAATTTTGCCATACGTTCCCCCAGGCACACTATCTCATTGGAATTGGCAGTCAATTTAGTTATCCACGGGACCCAAATCAGCTGTGTTTCCTATTTTAGAATGTTGGGACGATAAATGATCGCCGCCAATATGCCGCACTTAGAAAACTTGGAATCATCCAAAGTAATGATAGGTGACGGCAAAATGCCTGTGCAAGACTTGTGCAGGAATACACTGACTTGAGTATTCAATAAATTATTGACGGCGGTCTGGACTTGACAAATTGAGGAGATCAAGCTAAGTTGTCATGGGGTTACCTAGCTTCTAGGTTCATGGACAGCTTCTGCCTTGTTTAAGGACAATGAACACAGAGTCACAGTCTGTGGCAGACTGAAGTAATTAGGGGAAAGAAAAAAACATAGACTAAATAGTTACAGAGACTCAAGTGTCCTAATACGAAGTCATTTACTGCCTTCGGTGCTAAATGCGAGATTAATTATAAACGTATAGCGAGATTGCATCGGATTATTACGTGTGAATAACCTACGCAATAACTAAAGTGGTTTTGGTTGTTGGTGATATTTAAAAATAGCCATTGCAGATTCATTCATCTTAGGAGCCAAAGACGTGCCTAAACGGCGTGCGTGTTCAGCTAATGACCGTTAGTAATGGGCGAAATTGCCGAGTCAGAACTTATATGTCCCTGGCAAAACGCTCATAGCTCATTCGAATATTCACCATTTTGATAGGCAGCCTGAAGCATGCCCTACGAGTAGTGATACACAGGCGAAAATAATAACAAGACGCCGCCTGTTATTTCTACTAAGGTCGCGGTGGCGCGGGTTCTGAGTAAATGAATAACGGACAAGTACGTATAACATAAATCACAAAGCAATTAATTACTATTACAAATAGAGAAATCAACTAAGGGGCATATACAATAGTATATAGCTTAATCGGCCAAAAGGAGCTTCTATAAAAAGTAGCTTATATATTTCTATTATATAAAGTGAGGCTTAAAAACAACTCTTTAAATAGTAAGTTATCTATATGATAGTAATAAAGGCATTATAATATGTAGCGCTACGATGATTAGTATATTAATTACGGTTAAGATATTAAATAAAATCTAAATAGGTCGATAACGTTAAGATACTTTATACTTATTTCAAATTTGATAAGTGTCGGATTAGAAGTCTAATTCGCCCTTGAGTCAGGGTAAACGCAGGGGCTATCTACGGACCTCTATGTCAGCCTCTAACCATCGATTAGAACTTCCCTTTTACACTTCACGTAGAGATTAATATGCAGTTAATTAACCCTTCGTCACTACGTAAAAGCTATAGTTTAAACCCGATTATCTTATGATATGGATATTAGTAATGAGTAATAGACTTAACTAGTGAACATAACTTCAAGAAAGAAAACTTTCCTTAAGCCTTAAAGTGTAAAATATTATTTTCCATCTTTAATTTAAAATGAAAAGCTTGATATGGGTGTGATTTGCGAACAGGGGAAATAAGGCATTAAGGTTAGCCGGGAGTTCCGGACCAAGGCTCAATGAATTATAGATTTTGCTTTGTTTAATCTTAGGTTCGACTCATCCTCAAAAAAGCTAGAAGCGTAGTGAGGAACCAGGTCACATATCAAAACGAATCTAACTTCGCCATTTGATCCTTTAAGCGTTCGTGTTCGAAGAACGTTTAGTTAGCTGATGTTTAAAAAAGAATAAAAATAAAAAAAGGACTTTCTAAAGAGTTCTCTCAATGGCCGACAGGCTTTTTTAACTTCTATGATGCGTAGATGAAGTAGCAGCCAAGCGAAGAAGCTTTAGTCGATTAATATCTTTAGCTCTGACCGAATGAAGTCTGAATAATGCACTCGAAATAAAGTGTGAGTGTGCATTGATGAGGAGGGCAAGTTCTCGGAAGCATCGTCCAGCGCACGGGCTTCCGTAAACGCCGAGCATTTCGCTCAATTAGCCAGGACGGCTCCGCATTGCCGGCTCGGCATTCCGGTTGAACTGGAGCCTTGGGAAAAGTCAATCAAAGTCCATACAGTGTACAATTAAGACTGCTGTCTAAATTGATGACAACAATACTGAGGCCCGTCCAGATATCCTCCGAGCTTGAGACAACTTCTGAGCTTTTCATGTTCGTGTTTATGGGACTTCCATTAAATAATTCCCTCGATGAAATATAGCTGCTTGCTGCAAATAGCTACGCCCGCTTGACGAGTTCCGTTGTCAGTCGAATCGCTAAGGGAAACCTCTTATACTCACCATTATATACAGCTTATTTAGTCAGAGCTGGCCATGTCTTCCATTGGATTGCATTGCATTTATTGCATGCTGTGCTCCCACTGGTTAAGATGATATCATAAAATCTGCTCCTTCTCTCTTTCGCCTCCCAAGATCCTTGGCTATGTCCCAGTTCCCTAGCTTTGGTAGTGCTCAGCACCTTGTGTTCAGTACATAGGTTGCGCTGATCCTATCCTGATACTTGCTGTACGACCTCTCATTCTACACTGATGACGTGCTTTGACGAAGCATATAAACGGTGCTATTTGTATCACCGGCAGATAAAATCCCAGCGGTGAGAAAGTCCTTGAATATGTCTTGGCTGTGTTGTTATGGTCCTGTAAGTTGCCGGGATCTTGGATCCTACAAAGGCTGCTGACGATGGAAGCACAGGCCAGTACAACACTGCGGGGAACTATTGCGGTCCTGTATCCATATACCCGGCGGAATCTGGTTCGGAGCTGACGGGTCATTCATATTCATTAAATAAGCAGAACTCAAGCAGAGAAAAATGGGCCGTTCTGTGTAAGGAGACTAAATAAAGTTAAATTCTCAATTAGAGGTGCAGCGAAAGATCATACGACAGAACACCGATCCATAAAACACACTTCTAAAGCGAAGACGACGCTAGTAGGCTTCGCCACGTTGAGTGTCGTTCTAGACCCCATGTGATCAAGGTGGGAAAGGGATTAGCTAATCAACTTGCACTGTGCGACTTCATCACTAAAGGAAGCCCGTACATAAAATATCATGACACTCTTCTGGGCCGCTGCGGTTCGTCGCTTCAAGGATCTTGCTGAATATTATTTTACCTCAACTAACAGCTTTCCAATGTGGGAGACATTCTATTAAATGAGGAAAACAGTGCAAATATATCCGTAGATCTCTCCATTTCAGGTCCACTGTAGGAAATTGGGATTCGGGCCTCCCGGAACCTAGTTTTCAACATCTTGAACACTGACCTCTTTGCCTTGCTTTTTTTGGAAAGTTATAAGTACAGAGCTTGAGACTGGCACACAGCGGTAAGACTCATTCGCCATCATCAAAACAACTCATCTTGTCAGATTTCACAGTTTTCTTAACTGCGTCGCAATCATGGTTTACAAGTCTTTAATCCTCCTTCCCTTTATTGCTAGCGCCGCTCTCGCCAACCCCCTCCACAGCGTCTTACAACGTCAGGAAGCCGGGGATAATGTCACTTTTGCTGTCACTGCAGTCAGATACAGTGGAGAGGGCTGCCCTACTGGGTCTATCAATGGGACCCTCGATCCCAGTGGCAACTTTGACGTGTTCTATGCTGCTCTGAACACCACAATTGGTAGGTTTTTCAAAATGGCCTGTTTAAGTCTCACAATCATCACTAACATTCAATTTCAGAGCCTGGAGAGTTCAAGGAAAAGATCAAGTGTCAGATCCAAGTCGATATCCAGACAGCTGCTGAAAGACAGCTGGTCGTTTTGAGGTAAGGGAAAGATCTTTACAGGCCGTGATCTTGAAACGGTCAAATTCTACATTTAGACTGACAATATTGCAGCGGCACTTTCACGGGATACGTCTTGTTGACCGAAGGTGCCTGGGCTAAGTACGAGAACCAGTACAAGTACGCGGGAAACCCGGGAACGATCAAAATGGAATGGCCTTTCAAAGCACCCATTAATGCCGTAACCAAGTTCACTAACACCCTTTCCACCGAATTTCGCTCTGGCTGCAACTCTACTGGAGGCAAATTCACTCTCATCATCAACAACTACTTGAGTATGAGTAATGATGGAAAGGGAGAGGGTCAGATCTCTGTTACGGAACTCGATGGCGCCGTTAAACAATCAACAAAGTTGACGACATTGCCGTGCCCTTAAAAGGAAGTAGCCTCGCTGCCACTCATAGGTACAAGAGAGACAGACCGAGTGGAAAGAGGCTGTCTTAAGGCCAGTGGCTTTGGTGTCTTCTCTTTTTCTGAAGACGATTTAAGTTCTAGTTCAACGCGGATCGTGTGAATAGGATGAAGATCACCTACTCATTCAATTTCTTTCTCTCCGTACAGAACAGCACGCGTCGTCCAACGTTGTGCTTGGATTGTTCGATCCTCCTGTATCTTAGGCATTTATCTAACTAAATTTGCCCTTGTAGTCAAGTCCCTGTCCCCTTTTCTAGCTGCACATGCACAGTCAGCGTAGAATCCCAAATCTTACAGGATGATAATGACGTTGGATAGAAAGAACAATGAACTGCGAGGGGCCTTGGGATCGGGTTAGCCGGCCGCGTTAATTCCCTACCTCAAACCCAGTCTAACATTGCGTTCTCAGATCTCCATTATATAGAATGTTATCCGGATAGTGTAATTAATATCTTAGAAAAGGATTGGCCCACTCATGCGGGCGAAAGTGGCAGCCTGCATGCCTAGGTACCTGATAAGGCTATTATTATATCCCATCTTGCGAAAGGGACGCAATTACCAGTGCTTGACTTCCAGCTTGTTTTCTATTTTTTTGAGAATTAAATAGTCATACAAGTAGACCGCTGTTATGAAAAGAGCTAATACAGCGACAATAAAGGGCATGGATACTATGTGAGACAGATGAGGGTGTATCTAAGGTCATGTCAAAGAGACCCTTCTAAATGCCGCCGCTTAGATAGAAAACAGACCACAACTATGATGCCGATTGCTATAAGCTGTTTTATATGCTGATTCATGGCAATCGCTAACCTCGTCATTTAGCATCTGCCTAAGAAATATCTGTAGATTATCGATGCGTAGAATTGGAAGAGGACAGATAGGAAACTAGCGCTCTGTAGAAACCATCGAGCTCACACGGAGTCAGCCTTCTTACAGTACAAGAGGCCCTTGCTCTTTGACGCAGCCCTCTACTACATCACGGGGATGGATTCAACTGCTTACTTCTGGCCGTGGATGATTTCATAGTCCAAGATCTCAGTCCGTCATAGGAAATTACTGCATCTTATCCGTAGTGAGCAGAGGTATGCCGAGGAACCCTTCGGCATCCCAAGCCAATCAATAAGAGAAGAATTGAATTTTTGGTGGAGCAGAAACGAAGCCACTGGTCGAGTTATGACGTAATCTGCGCGGATGGCCAACAAAGAGTCAGCACTTGTGGCTATGCTAAGAACTTCGCAGGGGTCAAGCCTTCCATTGAAATTTGAGAGGTCTCTTACGAAGAGATAACAGGGGCTAAGACCTACCCCCCTACGACGGATCACCCCTAACGACGGATCACAGTTTCCCATACAAATTCACGATATTTTACCTATTAATACTCCGTATTTAATTAAAAATAAAAATTAATAAAAATTATTACAATTTAATAATAGCTTATGAATTTATAAATAAAAAGTTTAAGTTATTATTTTTAATTCTTTATTTAATAATATATTATAATATATAAACTGTTAAAAACGTAAAAGAATCTCTATATAAATCTTAACAATTTTAATATTTTATTCAAAACTTTAGGTTTTTATATTAAAAATCTATAAGAAATATTCAATATAATATAAACTTTAATTAATCTTATTATAATTTAATTAATCTTTTATTTATAAGTTATACTATCTTTTTTTAATAAAATCTAATATTCTTTAATTAAACTAATAAAATATTATATATATAGATAAGTTATAAACATAATAAAATAGAAAAATCAGTTTTGAAATTAAAATAAATATAATAAAATTATAAAATCTTAAAAAACTATATTTTATTAGTAATTATTAAAAAAAAATTAATATGTGAATTTTAAATAATATTTTATTAAATAATTAGTGATTATTTTATTTTGAAAATTTAATATTATAGGTATTTAAAAAACTCTAATATTAAAAATAGTTTTTATATATTTTTATTATTATTAAACTTAATAGTTACATATATGTATAAAAGTAGATTTTGTATGGGAAAGTGTGATCCGTCGTTGGGGGTGATCCGTCGTAGGGGGGTAGGTCTTAGATAGACCTTTGAGACACTACCCTAAGGGAGTAGTCAGCGATTCTTATCGTAAAATCAGGTCTTGTACTCCTCGTCAACCTTTCCTTCTGGCCTGTTAACCCTCAACTCGCCCTATCAGCCAGCGAATTCGACAATGCTGTGCCTGCTCATGACCGTTTAGGCATAGATAGACTACGTTGGATTTGGTCCTGCCCTGGTGCCTATCATCTAATTGAATACTCGCCAGCAGCTTGGCAAGGTCGACGTCCCAGTTTCAGGCGTCGACAAACACGATGGCTACAATGCGAATACGGTCCAGTATTGCCTCTGTGAGGTGCAGACGATCCAAAATCAAATGCGACAATACTGGACGGCTGGACTCTCCGTGTTATAACTGCAAAAAGAGCGGCAGCAAGTTTGTTTGGCCCGTCCCAGCTCCATTGCCATCAAAAGTCCTGCTTCCTCGCTTAGGAATAAGTAGGATGCAGGCTTCCCAGCTCCTGAGCACAAACAACCTCGGAAAACTGGCAAGACGATAATGCCAAAGAGCAGTCATCACGAGGGTTTACGGGCCATCCAGGGCATCGACAAAGACCTGTGGGATAGGATACCGTTCACTTATCAGCAGCATTTCACGGTTAAACTACCATTCATTCGTCAACCGACAAGAAAGAAAGCAATCTATGATCTGGCTACAGGGCAAAATCAGGTACCCTCAGACACCAGTCTGGTTTTTCTTGGGCTCTTAGGGTTAACTGGAAGATACCACCCAGAGCTCTCATCTTACGTCGAGCTTATGTCGGAAGAGAAATCAGTCGGAACCAAGTTCCGCCGCAAGGATAATACACCTCATGAAAAGGGCCTCGCTACTTCTGACTCATTTGCGAGGCTCTTGGATAAATCGCTAGGTTCTTTCCTTATGGCAACATCCGTTGGATCGGTCGAGCGCGTCCAGGCGCTGCTTATGCTTGCTCTTTGATCTCACCGAAACACGAGGACCTCAAAGCCTGTTTGCTCACTGGTATAGCGGGGTGTGTGGCTCAAGCGCTCAGGCTCGGGCACGAAGTCGAACCGAATACTGCATGCGAAGAGGCAACTGGTGAACGAGAACGCAGAACGATGTTCAGTTGCTCCATCTTCGATCATCTCGTTTCCTGTGGAAAAGAGAGGCCCTTCTTCCAAAGATCTGCACACATAGTTTTACTTCTGCAAAGGAAGGTTTCGATTTGAGTCGTCAAATCAAACAACCGCTTCTATCCAGCAATTTCTCTGAGCCCGAGACGCCCCGTGAATGCAGTCTCCTCGGACGGTTTGTTCAGCTGACGGACATAAGGGTTCGTATCTCTCAGGACACGAATACGGGAGGTTCTTTCCTAGGGAAGAGCCTCCCACCTTGTAGCCGTGATTCTACGTTCCATAGACTGCGAAGAGAACTAGAGATATTCAGTCACAGGCTTGAAAGTCCGGGAATGTTTTTGAGCATGGCCACAGCCAACTATTTTCGCCACGAAAACAACTCCAGCACTTACGTCCTCTTACATCTCTTGCTTTACATCTGTGCGATAATGCTCCATCGTCAGTACGTACCTTCAATTTGAAGCTAGTAACTGCCAGAAGCCGGAGGGTCCGTTGGACGAGCCTACCCTTCCGCAACGCAAAGCGTGGCCCCTCTCGAATTCTGGGAGGATAATGCCAGCGAATTGTTCAGAGCAGCGTAAGTTATCGTATCTTTGATCCGCTTATCAGGTGGCAGTCTTCCGCACTCACCTCTCGTCGTGTTCATTATCTACATACACAGCATCATTTGTGGCCATTTATGTCAGAAATCTTCCGTACATGGACGTTCAAGTTTCGCTGTCCACCAATAAAGAACTACAAACCCAAGACTGCGGAACTTTGTCAAATGGCGCTTGTAGCGGTACCTCTGCGACCATGTTCGACATTCTTAAGAACACGGCAAATTACTCCGAGGTGGCGTCGGCCTTCGTTATAAGATTTGGTGAAGTAGACCAATACTTATTTGCCATGGTCCAGGATCACCATCGTAATCTCAGGCATCGTACTTCATCTGATCTGTCCGGGGTTGGGAAGCTAGATGTACGCATGGAAGGCGACACTGGCGGGCTGGAAGAATGGGTGGAAAACTCCGACAGAATGGTCGGCAATAGCTCGTCCATTCAAGATGGTTATTGTAGGTGCGATCTTGATCAGATACGTCTTGAAGACATGAATTCATGGGAGGCGGCAGAACAGGAGGGCCCAGCTCGGTCTAGTAAGCCTACAGGGTTACTCGAAAAGTCTTCTCCAATGGTCTCAGCATCAGAAAGCTAACAAAGTACATTGGCCACAGAGAAAGATTTCTCGCTGAGAATTGTGTGCAGCCTCCGCAGTTGACTTTGCTAACCACGCAGGTCGCGAACGAAGATTCAGTCATATTACTAGAAATCACTGACGACTGGAGCTGGGCATTCCTTTATCAAATGTATCTAGCAAGTGTTTTATTCGATTCGGAAGATGTTGAATCTAGATTTAAACTTTGGTATCTTTTATTCGAGAGTCGGTCAGCGGTGCAATATAAAACTATAGAAAATCATCTGCACCAAAAACTTTTTATGAGTACTTACCTAAATATCTTTTGATTGTGAGGACTTGGTCATGAGAAAGGAATCCATCTTAGTTCTCATCTGTGACTACCACGGTGCCTATGTTCACTTGATGTTTGGGAAAGCTTTATGTTCATCAACTCGCGAGCTCGTTCTAGTCATAAGGTCTACGCCACATTTGCCACATGAAATTCACCGTTGACACTACGCTGATGATCTGATAGACTCGCACTACTTGGGTGCAAAACGGATGAGTCCCATGGGCTGATCCTGTCAAATGGCTGCATGATTGGAAACAATTGGTTCAAGGGCGTTACCGCTACCCTCGCCTGGTCGAAAACAATACAGCCAGTGATGCATGATGGGTGGTATTGGCCAAATAGTCGCCAGTGGCTGTCGGGTCGCCTTGAGAGGACATTGATGAAAGAACGTATCATAGATACTATAACTTATCATATGAGAGTATGCGAAAGCGATGTAGTAACGTGTTCCGCTCAATAGCAACATGAAGACAACAACTCTCCAAGGAGCCGCTGCCAAATCTCACTGACGTTAACTATGATCTGTGACTTTCAACGGTCAATATCTTCTAGGGTCTCTCACTCAAGAACCGCGGTATATTTAATGAGATCGATCGTAGTCGCTCGCTAGATTCATTAGGCTAGCGAGCAGCAACAGTGCTTCTGAGAAATTGGCATCGTTCGATGCAAAGCATCAGAGGTCCACAGAGGACAGTCAACGATTCGAGATGGCTCCCGTCACCAAGCTTATACGTAGCACCGATGACAACCGCACAATAGCAACCATTTCCTTCGTCGGTTTCATTGTTTTGCGAATCTACTTTTCTCTTGATGGAGTACCTTCATTTTGTCATAATTTAACTGAAGAGAGTGGATGGAAGTGAAATCACTCGCATACCTCGAGAGGTTTTCCTTATCACCTGAGGCTGGTCAGTCAGGTCCAAAAGACAGTTCGACCTGGTATTCGGCGAGCACTTTCGTCTCACTTTTTAGTGAAGTTTGTCAATGAAAGATACGGCACCAACCATAGAACTTTCGGTTGCATTCACTCGCCGGTCGTATGAACTGCCTAGTCATAATAGCCGTATTTGCACTACTTTCTTCAACAAACTCTATACGTTAAGGGCGAGACTGAGATGTTCCAGCTTGAATAATCCCCAGGGATTCTGCAATATGCGTCTTCAACACCTCCCACAAGAGTTGGGGTGAGGCAGAAACAGGCATTCCGGCGAGACCTTCGGAACGGCTCGGGAAACTGCTCCTGTGCAACCCAATTGCCGCCAGGTTCAAAAGAAAGAGAAAGTATAATACGTTGTAGCGGTGTTTTTATTATCTCAAAGCTTACACAGGGACTGCCAGGAAGAAGCATCGGCATGTGCGTTTTGCGCTGTGGGGACCTACCGCTGCCTTATATTATTGTGAACTCGACCTAGCTTAGACATCTCTTTCTCGCATTAGTTGCAACAATATCCATACATGTAGACTATAGGACCCGGAAAATCTTTTACTGGTGCACCAAGCTTATGTCTTAAACACCTGTCTGTAGCCACCTCCTTTCTTGATCTGACTTCTCAAGTGCCGATCCTATGCCAAGAATTGGACTGGAGCTATAGACCGTAACAAAAGCAGGGCAGCGCATCGTCATCCGGCCACCTTCCTTACGAAAAAGCTACTGCTGGATTTTGGTCCCAACCAATTCCTATTGCAACGTGATTTTACGTTTGACAACTATCATATCCCTCTGGATGACAACGCTCCCATTTTGCTGGACACTTATATTAGGTCCCTGTTGAATGGGAAGCCGAAACAGGTGACCAGTACTTTATGAAAGTAGGACAAGCGAAATATGGTCAGACTAACGGATATTGCATGCAAGCCCCGTCAGCGATAGCCATAGCCCAGCGCCAGAAGACCGATTAGAACGGTAGTACACAAGCGTCCGCTATTTAAGCCAGTGATCAATCAATACCCTTATGCTGAGGAATCAACTTCAAGTTCCGTAAGAGGAAGTAAAGGGATATTTCTTCCAAACAATTGAGAGAACATTCCATCAACAGTGGCTAATACAATTTGGAGGCTCACGTACTGGCTGACGAAAATTTATTTCGCCAAGGGATTTCCGTCGATCGACAAGACTCGCCGTTAATGCTTAAGCGTAAATGCGGAAGTAGCTGTCGGTCGAAGTCGCCGAAGCTAGTCGCCAGTTCTCGGCTCGGAGACTCTGAGACTCGGATAGACATTTGAAGAAAAGATGCAGTTTCCACGCCAGTCCTAATAATCGATGACCGAAGGGGTTTGGCCACGAATCTCGACTGCATAGCCTCCGTCGAGCACAAAGATGATAACTACGTGTTCCCGGCCATATCTCGGTCTGACTTGACTTTGACTAGGTTTAACTGTATTTACCAGGATGAAATGCTCGTTGACGGCCGCTAACACCACAAGTCCCCCAAATCAGGAAATCAATGATTAGTAAGACAAGAATTTCAGTTCGCATCCGCATCCAACTCTTGGGTAGACTCTCTGGGAGTGATCCCGGGGATCACGCTCCAGAGAAATTAATGAGATTTTCAGCATTATCGTTAAAGGTGGGACGATATTCGCTATGTAAAATTGACGCAAGTCGTTCTATGATGTAGACGCTTCCCGTCCATGTTCCCTTTAAACCACAACACATCAGAAGCCGGACATGGTCAAGCCAATTTTGGAAATTGGGCCATACAGTCGCCGCCTACGGAAGCTACTGAAATCATGTCGGCCAAGAAGGAATCGATCAAGGAGAAGGTCAGAAGTGAGTAGTGCTGCGGATCAGCGTTTAGTCTCACTCCAATTGGAATGCAGCTTTCTTTAGGTGAAGGGACCAAAACGAAAGGTGAAAGACGGCTGGTACGGAAGACTGGAGGGTCGAAGTTATACATATATCTTATTTGGTTATCTATGCCTGACTGTTTTATAAGACTCCCCTATCTTGGTCTTTGCTATGAATTTTACTTACTGGCCAGTCGCGGGGGCTGTCTACTAAGTTTACCGTCAGACTTACTGCTGTCTTAATTACTTCTTCAACGTTTTAGGTGTCTTTGCGTATCGCGTCAATCGTGATCTCAAAAGAAATACTCTAATTACTTACTCGCCTACAGACCAAGCATCCCATAGCGGCCAACAACACGAAAGCATCAAGGTTGGTGAAATCCCTTACGGATGTGTCATCTAAAAGGTGCCACCACGAATGTAGCTTCCGTCAATGGTTATGGTGCTGGGTGCGTAAGTCATTATTTGAGTGTCTCATTTTATGTCTTTACATATATCTCCAAGAATAAGAAGCTTATAGTTACTAAAGACAGATTGATCATGATCAGTGCTACAGTTAAGACTGTAACACAGCTGTGTCTCGTTCAACTTTCCTTAAATTAGCTGAAGCTAGTACGTAAGCTGGAACCACATACTTATTTATAAAAGCTAATAATTATTTATTAATAATTTTTAGATGAGAAGGTGTTGGAGTTTATTTTCACTTTTTAATTAGTTTCTAATTTTTAAAGGAAACAGCCAACTAAAAATTTTATATCTACCTCTTTCAATAATATCACATTGACGTTCTCACGTACAATATGAGGCCTTACACGCGCACAGGTAGATAACATCTAGCTGGGCGCGCCACCTTTTAGTTTAGTTGGTTAGGAACTGACGTTCTGAACGTGACAAATAACATAATAAAAGATTATATTTTAACGATTAATATAGTTTTATTATCATTAATTAGTATTTTAAAATTGTATAGAAGCGATCCTTTAACTGCTAAAAATAATTTTATTTATTAAATTATAATAGTTAAGCATAATTACTCTTCCGATTACATTCCTCGGCGTTCATTATTTCCCTAACACCCCTAAAAAAAAATGTTCGAAGTTCGTACTTGAGCGATTCGTAAAAGATGTTAGTAGTCAGCCGTCTACCGTATATCTAAAAAGGCGGCCATAGCATCGGCCCTCTATTACTACTGAAGTGTTAAGTAATGTCGACTACTCTGTGAGGTCCCTGTACGCCGTTGCAAATTATATTCGGTTGACAATAAATGAGCTGAATTCTCTTATCTTGGTCTCCAGTTTGCGCCACCCTAGAGGCCTGGACAGTACAGAACAGTTGCCATCCGGCTCAAGTATTGGTCTGTCCACTTCTCACCAAGTCAGATCAACATCCTCTCGGAGTCCAGGCTATCGGAATCGTCTCGAACATGTTTGCCACTTGCCATATGGATGTCACTGGCACTCGCATCCTCTGCTTATTCTAGCAATCAGCCCGACAGCTTGTTTACGCTATCCCTTAATCATACCCAGTATTCTATTTTCTGGCACCTTTTATTTTGCTCTTGGCCTTTCCGGCACTGTTCATAAGGTCTATTCTCTATTTTTTTTTTGGGTGGGTAAGTACCATCCTCTAGAGGAGTGGTGATGATGCTGTGTGCGACGTCACAATCCTTGCATAAGTATTGGGGGCTTGACTCTCTACGTGTTCTAGGGCATCGTGCTTTATTCTGCCTTTGAGGCACTGTACTGGCGGAAGGGATGCATAGTCATATTGTTTGCTGCTTTGTCATGCTTGGCTATATGTGGACAGTTTGAAAAGAAAGTCGAGCTGTGAAAGGCCACAAAAATCTCGAAATTTGATAACACATCTGGCTCGAAAAAAAGGCTCTTGAAAAAATACGTCCCGCTAGCATCACAAGACACCGAGGCCAAAGCTGCAGTATCAGAAAAGGTATCTGAGAACAGATGGATCACAGTAGGGTAATTCAGAAGATTTTGAGCTTTGCAGAGGCTATCAGCATTTGAAAACCAGCGCATATTATGCCCTGCGATCTTACTGATGTCGCAGCGGTTGTGCCGAGTGCTGGTCTGAGGCAATATTTCGAAGAGGAGAACTGTGCTCCGGATTATTCGCCAACAGGGCAGAACCAAATCGACCTTTCGCACAAACAAAGGCTCTTTGTGATGACTTACGGCGCAGTACGTTCGGTCTCATGCTATTGCTTTTTACTATTGACCTAAAAGATAGATTTACAATGCCCTTTTACACAAGCTTACTAGTCTTTACAATGTTACGTGTTTGTATCTCGATGGGGAGTTTCTTCAAAATCCGAAACAAGAGCCCTTTATCCTGGATTTCCTTTAATTTAGTTAAGCCTGAATCCTATTGCAAATATTAAGTTTCCATTCACATATACAAATTTAGTTGAATGTCGTCCCTTGCAGCCGATAGAAATCGGATGCCTCACGCTTCTTTGAGAAACTGTAGCTAATGTGTGTCTACTGAGCTTCCAGTGCGACATATTTCGGATCCAAAAGCACCAAAGAAAAAAAAGGAAAAGAAAAATAAGGGGGGGTGAAGCAGCAGATAGGTCGGCATACACTGAGGATTTATTAATACTGAGGTTCTGTGGGCAACTCCGAGTACTACACCCAGCTCTATACACGCTGACATGAAGCTTTCGAGACATCGCGCCAGCGAAGATGGTGAAATCATTTGGAGCCAAAACGTGCAGTCGTATTTGATGGGACAAGACTCGGGCCTCCCAGACACGAGCTCGTTCTACGAACTGGGGTTTACCACACAACTTTTGCTCTTCAAATTCAGCCCATCGGCTTTGCGACCGATCTGGCCATTGATTAATCGTCTTAGAAAAAGACGGGGAGACTAATCAAGAGTCCCATTATGCAGGAGCGGGTTCTGCGTTAACTTTTTCTCAAGTAATGGTGTCAGAGGAGTACCAAGGGCTGGCCACATGAAGTTGCAGCAGAGGAGCTAAACCCGTTCTACTTTGGAGCATTATATTGGTGCCACGACGGAAACCAATAATGATAAAGTATGCCTCAGACGAGGGCCACAGCTGGACGTATATCATGCTCCCTTGGCATTTTCCTTTACTGACGGGCCAACGCTCGGTGGCATCCCGCCGGATCAGTTCATTTAAGCTTTTCCATCCTGGCGTCAAGCACGAGCTCCGGATGGCATGGCGATGAGTTTGGACAGCGGGATTCAGTGTACGGTGCTACTGCGGTCCCGCTTCAGACCCCAGAAGCAGGCGCCAGGGTTCTCTCATGATGTGGCTGTGAAGCCTGTGATGCAGATGCGCAGGGCGCCCCTGGTGGTTCTGTCAAATTAGGGGAGGCAGTACTTAACCTTAAAAGCGGCCATGCCTGTTGGTCTCAATCAAGGTCATAGTTGGGTGCAAGGGAATGAGGTCGCCTTGGTTGGGGCGAAGCGGCGCCTCTGTATCCGTACTGCTCAAAATGCGATCATAAGTTACCAACCAGTACGTGGGACTTGCGAAATGTCACGTGAGACGGAAGTCTCAAAGGGGGTAACACGGGGGGCTCGGGGGTAGAGTTAAGAGAGGAGACACATAACTGTCAGATCAGATGCTGTAAGCGTGCTATATATAGATATGCAATACGGAGTGTCTAGCCTTTATGGGGGATAAGAGTAGGCGCAGAGATGCAGCAGTCAGATGAAAGAGAGAAGGGGAAGGGGAGGGTGAGAAGATGGAGAAAGAGAGAAAGAGAGAAAGAGTGTGAGAGAGTGAGAGGGGCACACTTCAGACGCAGAGAGAATGAAGGGGACGGAAAGAGGATGTAGGGGGGCTGCGGGGACTGACTTCTATTGGGAGAAGAGAGAGTGAGTGAGGCACGTACTACGTACTAGGTACGCAAGGTACTGTGAGGTACCTCCTTTGCACCGTGTGACAACGATAAATTAGCCGTTGGGCGGACCTGGCCGAGATGGACCGAATTAGGAGACCAACCAGAAGCCGTTCTCGTCAGCAGAATGAATGGCTTGTAACCGCCCGAGCTGTGATTGGGGGAAATCCCTGGCGTTAGAACCGAGAGTGGACCCGCAGCCGGTACGTACCTCGTTTAGGGAGCAGAGAGATGGAGAAGGACGCGTCCAGACCGCCGTGATCCGCCATGGACTCATACCACGCCGCAGCACCCATCATCCTTCATCCATGTCGTTGTTGGCCAGCCGCCAAACAGGGCACGCCGCACAAGACTGCCCAGTGGCCAGCACGGATCATGGAGCACATTTGGAAAAAACATGTCTGTGCCCTGTTTTCTACGGTCTGCTACTGCGTATGTACCGGCTGCCAGTGCCAACTGGTGGTGATGGCCCGCCCCTAGTCACAGTACCCAGTCCCTCTTGGACTTTCGAGCCCACATTCAACACGCCCATGTCTAGTTCCGGCAACTGGCTGAGGAAAAGAGAAGAGAGAATGAGAGAGAGAGTGTGTGTGTGAGAGAGAGAAAGAGAGGAGAGAGAGCGCAAGAGAGGGAGAGGAGGTGAGTGAGGCGAGGTAAAGCGAGGCGAGCGCGGCCAGGCTCTGGCTCTGGCTCTGGCTCTGGCTCAGGCGAGAGAGGAGTGAGTGGGCGCTTAGCTTACGGATACCTCTAGCTTAATTACTGTACGGGTATTCGTACGGATGCAGCAAGGTAATTGTCGTTGCTTTGCTTTGCGGCTTGCCTGGCTTTGCTTTGCTTTGCTTTGCTTTGCTTTGCTTTGCTTTGCTTTGCTTTGCTCTGCTCTGCCTGCTTTGCTTCGCTTCGCCTTGCTCGGAAGAGGTTGGGAGCTGGAGCCTCCACCACGTGTCAAAAGCCGTCCCGTCTCGTCTCCGCCCCCTTGGGTTTCCCCTTACTCGCCCGCTCGCGCACCCGGCGAGAGTGTGCAGTGTGCAGTGTGGACGTGGACGTGGACGTGGACGTGGACTGTTGGAACTGGAAGTGAGACACGATGCGGATGCCCGCCAACGCGAACGCCGTCGCCGTCGCCGTCACCGTCACAGCCGACAACCGGCCGGCCGCCGCTACTGCTGCTGCTGCTGCTTCTTCCGAGACTCTCCAGCCTGCTCCCGCTCCCGCTGCTGCTGCTCCTCCTCCTCCTCCTCCTCCTCCACCACCTGTTCCTTCTCTTCCTCCTATTTCCCTTCCTCCTCTTCCTCTTCCCCCTCCGTCGGTCCCGTCCATGTCGTTGTCGCTGGCTCGCCCGTCGCGCCATGACGCCGCCCTTGCTGCCGGCCGCCTCGAACCTTATTCCTTCGCCGTCAACCATCCGCCGCCGCAAACCTACTACCGCCGCTTGGCTGCCGCTCCAGCTCCGGCTCCGGCCCCAGCTTTGTCTTCGGCTTCATTGCCGGCTCCTCCTGCTGCTGCAGCCTCCCGTCATGACGCGCTCATGTTTCCCCCCTCGCCGTCGCCGACGCCCTCGCATCCCACCACCTTCGGTACCCTCAGCAGCAACCACGACAGAAATCACAGTAATTCAAGCTTCATCAGCAGCACCAGCCATGGCTATGCCACACCAACCCCGCGTTCCGACCCGAAGCCTAGCCGCTGTTCCGTCATGGACCTACAGAACGTGCTGTGCGACCCGGATGACGATGTGAACATGTCCTCGTCGCGCTCAAGTCACCCGCCCACGCCCCCCCATCTTGCTGATGTACTGAACCCTCCCGTCCCAACTTCCATTCCTGCTTCTCCGACGCCGGATCCATTGGAGGCGCCGACCTTTGTGGCCCGTCCAAATCCCTCTCACGTCGTTATGACCACTAGGCCTCAGTTGCAGACCTCCCAAATCCAGCACACGGAACCTGGCTGCAAGACCTGTCAGATCCGCAAGATGCCTTGTGATGAGGGGCGTCCCTCATGTAAGTTTCACTTCGCTGAATTAGTCGCGTCTATTTGTCGATCAATGGCTTCCATGGTCCGAGTACTGACCTGCTAAACAGGCCAGAACTGCTCACGCATGGGCATCCATTGCTTGGGCTACTTCTCTCCGAGTCATGCCAGCGCCCAACAGGCGTCGGACCGTTCCGTACCCAGCGTTAGTGCCAACGCCAGACGCCAGGATCAGGAAGAGTATCTCTTCTTTCTCCTTGATCATTACCGGCACACAAAGCGCCACTGCATGTGGGAGCTCATCACTCTCGACTTCAATGAGCATTTTTCTTGCAATATGCGTAAGGAGGCTCTGCAGATGATCAAACGCCGAAGATTCAAAGACAAAGAGTAAGTCGTCAATGCCAACCCGCATTTCTTTTGGGTAACCGGCTGATATACCCTTTAGTACTCGGGAGGCTTCACCAAACGATGCTTTGGGGAATGCGCAACGTCCCAAAGTCAAGAGGGGACGGCGACCAAGATCAAGCGCCCCCTCTCTCCAGTCAAAGGAGGATGGTCCCGGCAACGAGTCGGCCACTGGGTGAGACTGCCAGGCGGCTCATCTCCGCCACCTGCCTTAGATCATCCATCTCGAACCTCCTGGCCGTAATCTGGTCAGAGCCAGGCGGTGTTGACCCCGAGTCAGAGTTACATATGCGGCCGCGGCTGGCCACTCGGTCAGCAGATCTTGCATGTGACTGTATCAACCTGGGCATGACCCGGTAAGAGCCCATCTTTGGGGAAAGAATACTCTCGGTCCCTGAAGACCCTCCTGGGTCCAAGGTAGCAGGCCCGTCGGGTCACCCAGTCTGTACAAGATCTGGTCAAGCAATCTGATCATAAAGGACTTGGCCAAGGCGGCATACGGTCATTGCAGACAGATCGTGCCGCTCCGTTGACTGTTTTCTGGTCTGTCAACCTCTGCAAGCCTTACAACACAGCAAACGATGCTGAGTTTAGAAAGACATCAGAAGCAATAAGTCGACGGCCAACAACAAGACCAACGGAACTCACAAGGTTGTGGTGGGTACATGACTCCCTATACCCATACACCACACAATTGAAACGTACGGCACTAATCTGATGTGTCGCCACGATCTGAAGCCGATCCCTGCTAGAGTGCAGGACCAACACAGCTTCAACTATCTGCCCTGATACTCCTCGTCTGGTGCCATGCAAAAGACATAATGCAAGCTTGGCTTGGCAATCTCAAATTAAGCCAGAGCGAGTTGATCAATGCCAAGATGCACGCGGAGGTGACAGGTCCGATTTAAACCCCGGTCAACCACTGCGGTTCAATGCCGATTCCCAGGCGAGGAAAGCCTGGAGTACGATCAACTGCGGATATCAATCACGTGGGCTCAGCTGCTTGAGGTGTTCAAGTCATATCAGCGACGCTCAACAACTCCTCTCACTTGCCAATCCAACTTACTCTGAGCCTAGTGTAAGACATACACAGATCACTCATACCTTCACATAGCATACATATGTACGAGGAGCTCCTATTGGCTAAGGGAGATAGCAGCTGATATGATCGAATTTGTTTCATGTCACCACACATGAGCATATATCAATAATGTGTTCCCATCTTTGTTAAGGAGGTGGACCATGTTCGCTCTCCAGGCCCCTATGGGGTATTGACGTCGAGTTTGGCGTCTCACTAAAGCGAATGGTGATTTCACTACGACCTTGAAGCGAGTTTGAAACATGGAAGCAGGAGGATTCTTACAACCTTCTTCAGGGACACAATATATTGTGATACGTTATGATTGGGTGCCAAGTTCATTACCGCAGCAGCTGCCTGTGCGATTTCTCCGACGTTCTCAACTTGAAATTCTGAGGAGCCCAAATGCTTCTCTACCGACTCCGTGGCTTGGATTCTTCTAGTCTCGGACACCTCTATGAAATCGATCCGGGATCGACGCACCTGGAAATTAGATTTCTATCCTCGAATGGACTTATTCGTCTTGAAATGTCTATCCAACATTGTGATGTATATAATCTCTACGATGGTGAGAAGAGGTCGATCGTGCTTTTTTCCCTTTTTTCTTGAGCAGTTTCTATGCTTCTCTATGAGAACTAACACTAAACAGACAACCACTCGAGTATACGGCATTCCGTCCTATTAATCCTTGCTACGAATATTCTGCTCTAGACAGTACATATAGTCTTGTTGAAATTGGATTACGACAAGGACCCATTTATTTGCAATACTACGCGAAGGGTACTACTATGAAGCAGGTTCCACACATCTCCAGCAGGATCGTTTTCTAGAATACACTGTTGAAAAATTTAGACACGTAGGCAGTTAATTTTTGTTTAAATTCGATTCGGCATATCGTTAAAAGTAATTGGTAGACTAAGTAGCAACTTATGATTTATTGTACCCGGTGATACAGTCGCGGGGGTAAGGCTTACGTCGGTTCACTTATCTGCATTACCTTAATACTAGTGCAATCCAGTCGCTTTATTTACTTCTAGGTCTACTTTATACTTCGCAACAGGTTTTGGGAACGAGCTTAGGCAGTGCCAACTCGGGCCGCTCCTTGCCGCCAAAGCTCCTGCTTCTCCAACAGTCGCGTTCTTGTTAACAAATTGTTCTAGGGCCTTGGCACTCTGCAACTCTCAGACCTGTGCGTGCTAGCAAGCTGGCTCCTGTTTGCTGATCTGTTGCACAAAACAACCATCATATGACCTGCAGATGCAAGAGATGGTGACTAAAAGTCCCTCGGGACGTAATCGCCTTTTTGTAGATGCTGGATTTGCTGATTTGATCGGGGGCCTGCCCGGCTTCCCGTCACTCTCTGCATGGCCTGCTACCATTCAGACGGACGGGCTCTCGGTAAGTTCTAGCCGGCTCAGACCCGATGCTCTTCTGTATCTCTATGGATCTTTAAACGCCGTCGGCTTCTTTGTCACCGCGTCTGTCCCACTATCCCCAAGGGAAGACTTTGGAATATTATGGGCTACCGGGAAACGCGGTTGCGTCCACTCCGGCCCCGATGGATCGGCGCTGTAGACGGTCAGGACATTGCTGTCCAACGACGATGAATCGTTGCCGCGTGTCAAGAATGTAGAAAGCTCAAGAGAAGGGTTAGCCTTGTGTCAGAGAACCTGGGTTCCACTATTTTGTGCTGATGAATTGAAGTCGGATGCTAGTGTGGCGGAGGGCGACGGCGAGGCTCTTCTTGCAGCGAGATACAGAGCGCGCAGTACTACTACGAAGCCGGGCCATGCGAGACGCTATGAAAACCACGAAAGGGGGAGATCTGATTTAGAGACGAAAGACATTAGAATGATTCGGACTTCAGAGATGACAATTGAAGAGGGCCTTGTCAAATTTATTCTATGCGAAACTGGAGATATTGCATCATTGTGAGGAGAGGCCAGAGCTCGTTATGCTTTAATTAGAATTATCTAAGCATATCAATTGTCCACCTCAGATTCCAAAGGCCGAATTAGGTACGCTTAAGGAACTCCTCAATAGGAGAAGGTCAACAGTTCAACTAGTGGAACGGTGAATCGGAGCCATTTTGCGCATATCATCTGCTTGCACACCATCCTAGCGATGGTTTGTGGCCTTTATGAATAGCAGGGGAATTCTTGCATAATTCATGACGGCAGTGTAGGATTGGACCGCCTGAGCCCTGGAATACTCTGGAGCTTCAGAATAATCTCAGCTCCACCAACCTTTCAGAAATTAAGTTTATGTTCTGCTGATCTTAAGCTCTTCGGGTTGTGCTCGCTCCATCTGAGTAAGATCCGTCGCTGCCAGACTCTAGCCTAAGCTCGCGGCCGGCCAGACCACGGAGGGCAAAGTAATCATCCTGGCGAACCACACAATCACTGTCAGCTCGACGTCCTTGAGGGATTTATACAGGCGCAAAAACACGGCCGGAGTAATGCATGGAACAAAAATTCGCATTGGGTTATCCTATATAAGATATAGCGGGAAGCTTGTTAAACCTGAGCGGGTCAGCTTCTATCATCTCCAAGAGGTCTCAATAAGAGCCTGCCTTGTTCCTTTTGAATCCAACCATTTGGGCCATCTCAGTCCAAAAACCGACTGGTGGATCAACTAACGAGTCTTCATAGGCTTCGATCAGAGGCCGCTCCCAAACAAGATCAACCTCATGGGGCCTTATGTATCTGGTTTTTTTGAGCAACTTCCATCCACAAAAGAGAACGACAGCCAGGATCTGCATAGTGTAGCTCTGGAAGAAGAGCTCTACAGACCATGGACGAAATGCGTAATAACCATACACCAAGAGAATGAGTAGCTGACAGCCCAATGCAATATATGCGCCGTAAGGTTGGAAGTATCCATAGTATGGTCGGGTTTTGCGATCAACTCCCTGAGCGACACATGCCCTGTGATAATTGATGAACGTGATCGACATTATGATGAAGCTGATCAGGCCACCTCCAGTAATAAGCGCAGTGAGCCATGTAATGACAACAGCAGAGCTGCTGCTGACTTGTAGGAAAGATAGCATCGGGAACAGCATAACAATAGCAAAACAGTATATAGGAGTTCCATTCTTGTTGCAGCGGCGCAGGAAACGAGGGGCTCGTCCTTCGAGCGATAGTGAATAGAGCGCTCGAGTGGCACAGTAGGTGTAGGTATTGCCAGCCGAGAAAATAGACGTCAGGATCAGGGCGTTGACGATGTGAGGAAGCACACCAATGCCCAGGGTCTCCATGGCGATCACGTAGGGAGAGGCCGCAGCAGTACCGCCACCACCATCACCAAAGTAGAGGTTGACTAGGGTCGGGTGGTTATACGGAACTACGATGCCGACAGCTAATGCGCCGATGATGAAGAAAATACAAAATCGGTAATACACAGTAATGAAAGCTGATTTGATGTAGATGGTGGGGCGTTGGGCTTCAGCAGATACCATGGAGATATACTCAGGACCGACAACGGTGAAGGAGGCGCTGAAAAGAGCGGCAAGAAACCCTTCGAAACGACCAAGGTCGCCGCCCGATAGATATGTCGCAAACGCGCCGGGGTTCGTAAAGTGGCGGAAGCCGTACGCATCCCGTTGAGGATTGCCGCCGACCATGGTCACAAATGTGAATGCGAAAAGCATGAAGATCAAGATCAGCTTCCCTCCGGAAAGCCAGAATTCGGCTTCGCCATAACCTCGAACCGCGAGGACATTGATCAACCTATTTTGGCATGTCAGTGTCACATTGCGTGTTCGCTTGTGGCCCCTCAATGCAACAGAAAGAGAGAGGAACAGAGGCCCTGCGAATAAGGATAATATTCTCACCCATAAAGAACAATCACGGCAGCACAAATGCCAGCTGTCGGGCCTGGTTTCACGACCTCGTCGCTCCAAAACGAAATGACGATATTGAGAGCAGTAATCTCAAAAGGGATCAAAATGGCTTCGTAGAGGAAAAAGTTCCATCCGGCTAGGAAACCAAGCGCGTCATCGACCCAGTAGCCAGCTAGACGAACGAAGCCGCCGGCGACGGGCATATACGTATTCATCTCGGCAACAGAATTGTTGACGAGGGCAAGAATGAGGGTATAGACGGTATAAGCGATCAGCAAGCTGCCGGGACCACCTTTGGCGAGGCCGCCGCCGATGCTGATGAAGAGGGCCGTTCCAATTGATCCGCCTGCTGCGATCAGCTGGATTTGGCGATTGTTGAGCCTCCGATGCAGGTGGCCCATTTCGTCTTCGGAGTCGACATTCCGGATGCTACCAAGCTCGGCGGTAACCGCTTCGCGGGAGCTTGTATATTTCTCTGCATTGGACTCCTTCATTGTGGCAGCGTCGGATGAGAAAACAAAGGCCGCAGCCAAGGAGATAAACCACGAGAACGAACCAAGGACGGGAATATTAGGAGGTCGATTCAGAACAACACGTGAAATCAGGACAGGTGACTTTTGGCGGTCCTCTTCTCGGGCAACGAAAACAAGAAGGAGAGAGAGGTGGAACACGCAGGACCGGATAAGGGGGGGGAGAGCAAGTCGCTTTTGTTAAACAAAAAGAAGAAGCAGTAGGCTGAGGAAAGGTAGCTTGTCGACTGTTATCGGTCTGAATGGTCCCATCGGTACGGATACAGAGTATTATCTGCAGAAACCGCTGCATGTCGTATCGCGACAGGGCCGATCCAATGATAAGGAACCAGGGGCTACTACGGAGTACGGAGACCAAGGTTCTTGGCCCCGTTACCCGTCCTAGGTGGTTGAAATTGGGCTTGTATGATTGGGTGCACCCCGCGCCCGATGTTCGTTTCTTGATCCATCCTAGCACTTGGCACGCTTCCAGATAGAGTACTACGTCAGCCCAGCTGTCCAGCCCTTGTCGACAGGCATCAGCAATCAGTTGGTGAGCCTCTGGGACTGCTTTTGATAGGCTGGAATGCACCCGCTGCGATAGGATCAAGGAGTCAAGGATCACTCCCCGCCCACCTCCTCCAAAGGGCAAACGCCAGGGGCACCTGGGCGAACCTAATTTACGATGATTCTGGGCTTTTCCCGAGGATGATGGAACTGCCGCCATTGGCACACATCCGAGGCTGGTGTCTGAGGGAGCAACGGATCACTATCCGTAAGGTATTTACCTTCGGTTGATTGTCGGAATCTTGGACTACCCCAGTCACGTGGGGCGATGAGCCGTATTCCTCGCTGACGGCCAAAAGACACTGATCCTCCCTTGGTTTAAAATTAATTCGATGCATCGAGAAGGAGCTTTGCCAGGGCATTCCAAACCAATTTATCTCAGGTTATGACTTGAAGGGACTGCCCGGCGTAAGGGTGTCTCTAACATCATTATGGCGTAGTACTTGCAGGAACTGTCCGCTGCAATGTGCAATTGTTAAGTAGTCTTGTGGATTTTTCAATATCAGCTCAGTCCATTTCCGCTGTTATCTTGTCGTAGTAAGGGCTGAAAAGTCGTCACACGTATGGAATACACCTGTATCGGCTATCGAGTGATGGAATCTTTCTGGGTCGAGCAGCTCGTCGTGGCCCTCTGCAGTAGAATCAGAACACATTCAAGGGCTTGGCGTCTCTGGTTGGAGCAGTGTGCCTTGAGCTTGCCCCGGTAATCCCAAGGTCCATCCTTGTAAGAAGGCAGCTTCTCGGGCGGAGTCCCAACAGCAAGACGTCCGAAATACTCCAAAATCACCGTCTATGCCTGTTATCAGACATGAATGGGTATTGAAGAAGTGTTGAGATGACTTATGAGACAATACATTTGGTGAAAGACACCAATCGCCAGTGTTCCGTCTCTGAAAGGGACTTGTGGGCCATTAAGGTCATAGGTAATCAAGGGCAGGCACGTAAACTGCGGAATGCGGAAAGCGGATTGTCGTTAGAGCGTCATCAGAAATTGAGCTAGAAGCGATGTGTCTTACATGCACCGAATCTATCATGCCATCTGCTCGGTGTCTTCTTCAACACTGAGGCTATTGTGAAAGCTTCCGCTCTCGCCCACAGATCGTCTAATTTCGGGGTCCAAAGGACTGGCTTGGAGCTGAAGCCAATGTCATGGCAATGCAGTCACTGAGGTCAGCACCACCGCAGAGATATCAAATCGAGAGTAACTTCTCACATGAATGTACCAAGTTACCATAATCGTTTCCCAACTGCAGACACCCGCCGTGAATTTTAGTTTGAAGCGACGTTGTGGCACCTCTCACAATGAAAGCTATTATTTACCACGCAAATGATCAGTTTTATGACAAAATCATTAAGAATGCACCATAGGTTCTCCCTGCGCAAGTATCCAAAACTTTTACCGCGTCTTCTAAATAAGGCGGGACTTCCGTATTCAGTAATACGAAGATAGATACAACCCAAAACCGCCTCTCTGTTATCGCAAATTGAAACACATAGATAAGCATGTAAGTTGCCTTCGAAAGATTGCCGAATAAATTATTATCCCTCTATTAATAAGTGTTGGTTTACGTAATCACAGGGTGATTTGTTCGATCGAGCCGTGGTGACGAAGGGTCAATTACTCTTATATTAATCTCTGCGTGAAGTGGAAAAGAGAGGTTCTAACCGTAGGTTAGATCGCCGGTCAAACGCTGATATAGAGACCCTTAGATGGCCCCTGCGCTAGCGCTGACTCAAGGTCGAATTAGGCTTCTAATCCGATACTAATTATCTCTTTTTTATTATTAATCTCGTATAATTAAAAAAGTAATTCGATAATTTTATAATAATATATAATATACTAATAAAAATAGTATTTATAATTCTTTTTCCGCTTCTTTTTTAAGCTTTTTTTATATAACTTATCTTTTTATATATACTATAGTCGTTCCGTTATTAATAAATCGTTTTAAATTTAGGTTTAAGTTTTATTTAGTAAAAACGTTTATTAAATTATTTTTATTATTAATTTAATGGATCTTAAGAATTTTATATTATTCGTACGATTACCGTAAGGTTATAATATTTATTATTAGCTTTTTTTTTTAATAATACTTAATTTAATAAGGTATTTATATAGTAAATAGGAATTTATATAAACGATTATTAATATCGTAAATAAGGTTAATCGATCCGTAATCCGTTTAAATATAATAGAGATTATATAAGTAAGGTCGATATTATTAATTATTTTATAAACTTTTAAAGTTAAAACGCTTTTAGTTATTTTTTTATTTTTAATTAATAAATAGTAGACGATATTATTATAAATCGTAAATTAATTATTTTTTATAGCTTTGTTTATTAAAATAATAATAAATCCGAGTTAAGAGGTTAAATTTATATTATTTATAAACGATCTATTAATAAAAACGTAAAGCTTAATAAAGGTTAAATTTAATAAATAATAAATTAGTATTACGATCGGCTAGTCGTAATAAGGTTTATATTAATAAAAGTCGGGGCTACGATACTTATAAATAATAATCGTCGTAAAAATAACTTTAATAAAGCTATTATTTATAAATCATAAGATAAATAAGGCTTTAGTAATTAATCATAGTCTTATTAAATAAATTTTTAATAAAAATAGCTAAAAGTAATCGTAAGATTTAATATAAAGTTAATTATTAAAAAAGTTATAGAAGTCTATTCTTAAGCCTAGCTCGGGCTATTTTATATATAAGTCCTAATTATAAATATATCTTTTATAATATTTTATTTATTATTATCCGATCGTTTATTAAGCGGTCGTCCGTTTTATATTTTTATGATTGCTTATCTTATTTATTTATAAGCGTCCGTTTTTTATTTTATTATATAATCGTAATTATATAATTTATTTATAATTTTTTTATTTTAAAAGAGGCCGTTTAAGTTCTTATTATTATATATATAATATAATAGCTGTTATAAGTTTTATAAAATAGGGCTTTAATTTAGTAATATATATTAAGTCGTAATATTAGCTTTTTTTTTAAAAAATCTAGTCCCTAGGCTTATAAATAGGTTATTCGTTCTTAAGTTAAGGAATTGTTAAATATTTTTATTAAAATATATTAACGCTATGTTAAATCGAATTAAAAAATCGAAATCGTAAATAATTACGTTTCGTCGCTATTTATTACGTATTATTTATTTTTTTAATAAAAGTATAAAAATAATATTATATTTAAATTATTATTTTTAAAGTATTTATTATTTAGTTCTTTTTAATTTCGATATTTACGGAATATATTATTGTTTAGGTATTTTATACGATGCTTTTATTAATATTATTTATATTTATAAGTTTCTTAAAGATTATTTTTTATAGGTCCTAATTAATAAATATAGTAAATCGTTTAGTAATAAAGTCCGATTATTTTAATTATAAAAAATAAATAGAGGAGTTACGGTTTTAAAAAAGAGTTATAAAGCTATAAAGAAAAGCTAAAGCTTATTAAAAAGCTTAAACTAAATTAAATAAGTCGTTATTTAAATTAAAACGTTTTCGTTTTTAAAAGCGAATAATATTTAAAAAAAGTCGTATCGTATTAAAGAAATTTCTTAAAAATACCGAGAGTATTTCTTTAATAACTTAAGAAGCGTAAGTTAATAATATTTTTAATATTATCAATTAAAATATTATAATAGTTAAGAGTTCTAAGTTTAAGTTTAATTTTAATACTTTTTAAGAAGTTATTAAAAATTTTAAAAGTTCGTAATAGGTTTTTATATATTATTTTCGTATTTATAATCTTTTTATTTAATAAAGTACTTTTTACGTCTTTCCTTAGTTTAGTAATTAATAACTCGTTTAACTTTGTATTTTAATTTATTAAGTTTAATAATAATACGATTTTTAATATATAAGCTTTTAGGTATTAACTTTAGGAGTAAAATATAAAAAACTAAGTAATATTATATCGTATTTAAAAGTTTTAATTTAAAATTAATTAGTAAAACTTTTTTAATAATTTTAAAAGGTTTAAGTTTTTTATAATTTAATTTATCGCTTAGTCGTTTTGTTTTAATATTACGGCGAAAAAAATATATGTTATTTTTTTTTTTAAAATTAATTTACTAATTTTTAATCTATTAATATATTTTTTTATACGTTATTATATAAACTTAAAGTCTAAAAAGGCTTTTTTTTAAATCTTTTTAAGTTTATTTACGTTTACTACGGCTTTTATAACCTATAATCCTTAACGTACTTTTTTATATATAGTTAATTAAAATCCGTAGTTAAAATAAAAAAGGGATTCTTTTATATTTTTATTAACTACGCTATTATATATAAACTAGGCTATTAATAATAATATTATTTAATTATTTTAATCGTAATTTATATAGTAGCGGAGGTAAGTTTTAAAAATCTAATTAATCTTTTTCATTTATTTATCGGTTTACGGATAAAAAAAGGTTAATAATTTATAATCTATACCGAGCTACGAAATTAAAAATTTTTAAAACTTAATAGTAAATAACTTATTTTTATTAAATACTATTTTTTTAAGTAAACCGTGGTTAATAATAACTATTTTAAAAAAAATATATACCAATTCTTTAGTATTATTTACTTTTTTATATAATATAAAATAAGTAAACTTAGTAAGTCGGTCGACGATAATTAAAATATTATCGTACTATATATTTATTAATAGCTTTTTAAACTTTAATAATTTAATAATAAAGTCTTAAGAAATTAAATACTATGCTTTTAGCGGTATTAATAATAATTATAACTCTTTATAAAGCTTATAAAGGCTATTTTTACTTTTTTTATAAATATCGTAGTCCTTAATAGCCTTAACGACTTTTATTTTTATAACGGTTTTATTATAATATTAACGAATCCGTTTTTATATTTTTATAATATTTTAATAATCGTATATTCGAACACTATAGACTTCTATAATAAGCTTAAGAATTATTTTTCTAAACAGGCTAATATTAACTTTTTTAACTATTATAAAGAGTTTTATAATAAATATAAAATTACCGTTATTATCGTATTTAAGGATTATTTATATTTCTTTAGGGACCGTAACTTTGTAATTAGGTCGTTTATTAAGAGCGTTTATTTTACCGTTTTTTAAACCTTTTTAATAAATAATTTAGAAATTAAATTTTAATAAAAATTCGCTCTATTTAATTTATTATTTATTTAAATTTTTATTTATTATAAAATTCGTAAAGTTTTTATAATTTATATAAATAGTAATTTCGTATTTAGTTTTTAAGAGTTATAATCTTTATTTTTTAAAAGTTTTAATTATAACTATTAATTTTTTATTATAAATTTATTAATTTAGTTTTGTTTTATAAAACGTTTTAGAATAGAATATATAAAAGTAAAGTATTTTTTATTAGTCTCGTTATTTTAAAATAGTTTTTATAACGAAGTTTAAAGCGTCGATTTCGATTTTAAACGGTTTTTTTAAATCCGGAATTATAATTATTAATTCCGAAGTAATTAAGTTTTTAATTTTATTAAAAGCTTTTTTATATTTTTTATTTTAAATAAAGGTTATATTTTTTTTTATTAAATTATTAAAAAGTTTAATAATATTAACGTAGTTTTTAAAGAATCGTCGATAAAAGTTAACGAATTTTAAAAATAATTATACGTTTTTAATATTAATAAATATAAGCTAGTTTTTAACTACTATTATTTTAAATATTTATATATAAATTTATTTTAATATAATCGTATAACTAAAGAAATTTATTTTTTATATATAGAATTTATATTTATCGGGCTTAATAAAGAGTTTTATATTTTAAAATTTTTAAAATATTATATAAACGTATTTTTTATACGTTTTAAAATTAAAAGAAAAAATAAGGATATTATTAAAATAGATAATTATAAAAATATCGACGTACTTTTTAAATACGTAATTAATTATTATTTAAAATATAGTGGGTGTATTAATAAATCCGAAAAGTATAACTAAGTATTTATAAAGTTCTTTACGTATTCGGAATACCGTTTTCTATTCGTTTTTTTTTTTTAATTTTAATTTAATTAAATATTTTTTTAAAATTTATTATAGTAAATTATTAGGCTTTATATAATATTTCTTTAAGTTTTATAATAAGGGGTAATAAGTAATAATTCTTTTTAGTAATTTCGTTAAGTTTTTTATAATCGATTATAAGTCTAAGCTTTTTTTTATTTTTTTTAAGTATAAAAAAAATTAATACTCTTATTAAAAAGGATAATAGTCTTATATAACCCTTTTTAAATTTATTATCGATATACTCGTTAAGTTCGTCGTATTTAAATTAATTTATAAGGTATAGTAAATAAAACTTAGGCTATATCCTTTCTTTTAATTCGATTTTTATATTTTAACTATTATATTTTAATAGTCCTATTTTTTTTTTTAAAACGAATAGTTTTATATAAATTTAATATTTTTTAAATATAATTTAAAATAGGTCCGATTTTTAATCGTCCGTATTAAATACGAATATTTTAATAAGTTCTATTATTTTAATAAAGGCGATATATTTAATTTATTTTCGTTCGTTAGGTATTATATAAGATTTATTTAAACCTTTTTTTTTAAATCGTTTAGTAATTAAATCTATTTAATAAAATTAGCCGGTTTTTTAATTTATTTATAAATTATATTTTCGTAATTACGAAATTTTTAAAATAACGTCGGTATCTTTAATTTTCGTAATATCGTATTTTAATTATTTTAATTAATTATTAATATATATCGTAAGGTATATAATCTCTTAATTAATATATCCGTTATTATAATTAATTTTTTTTTTATTATTTATAAAGTATATAGGTTTGTTTTTTATATTTATAATAATTTATATTTATTACCGTTTTTAATAAAATAAAGAGTTTTTAAATGTCGTTATTAATAATAGCGTTTATATTATATCCGTTTATTTAAAATTTAAGTTATAGATATTCCTTATCGGGGAGTATTATAAAATATAAGAATTTATTTATTTTAGCCGCTTTTTATCGTTTTTTTACGATTAATATACTTAGTTTTTTAATATTTTAAAAGTTAATACCCGTTTTTTTTTTATAAATCGTTCGTAATTAGCTATTAAATCGGGACGCTTTTATTTTTTAATAAGTAAATATAATACGTTAATAATATTATAAATATCGTTTATTTTTTTATTAATAGGTTCTTTCCTTTTAAGAAATAATTTATAATTTTTAAATATTTTAATATTAGATTATATATTTAAAATATGTTGGTTATATAGGTAGTTTTTTAAGTCCTTAATGAGCTAATTTAGTTTTCTTTAAAAGCTTATAGATTTTTATTATTTTAATTACTTATTTAAATTAGCTTTTTTTTTAATAGTAAAATCGTTAATATTAAGTAGTATTTTATAATCGATTTTTAATTAAGTACGTCGTCGAGCGACGTTATAAGGCCTATTCGAATTATAAAGCGATTATTAATTTATTAGCTATTCGTAATCCAATATATTAATATTATTTAAAAAGGGGTCGTAATTTAGTCCCTTAGTATTAAATTCCATAGATATATCGTTAATAATTTTTTTATTTAAGTTATTTAGTTTAGTATTTTTTTTAAACATAAGAAAGTTTTATTTTAAACGAAGTATATTATTTTTTATTATTATTTTAAGTTATTTATATAATCGTTATTATAAAATAATAAGGACTATTTTTATAATTAGATATTAAGGAATATAGGTATTTATTATATAATAGGCCTCGCTTAGTTTTTTAATACGTTAATAATAAAGTTCTTTTAATATTTAAAGTTTATATATTAAGTATATAGTATTTATTTTTTTATTAATTTCGTATTTTAATTAAAAAAGGTTTTTTTTTGTTTTAATTTTTAATCGTTTTTAAAATCGTTATTAAAATAAGGCGAATATTATTTTTACGTTTAGTCGCTTTTTTTTTAATAATCGGCCGGCTTTATAATAACTAGTTAAAATATAAATATAATCTTTATTATAATCCTTTATTATTAAAAAGCGTTATTCGTAATATTAAATTATTTTATTAAATATTTATTATATTATATAAATAGATTTATTTAAAATCCGTATTTTATAAATTAAGATCTCGTTTTTTAGTTAAAGTAAGTCGTCCTTATTTTTAATTATTATCTTTTTTTTTAATTTATTTTTTATTATTGTAAAGGTTTACGTTTAATTAGGAAAGTTAATAAGTTATATTTTAATTATTTCGTATATTATTAATAATATTTAGATATACTCTTTATTATAATTTTTAATAGTCTTAGGGTATTAAATTACTTTTTATTTATTTATTATAGTAAGGGTTCTATTAAAGGGTTTTTTAAAATACTATTTTAATTATTTTTTACTATTTCGATAAATAAGGTAGTTATCGTCGTAATATATAATCTAGGAGAGTAATTTATAAAGTACTTTTTTAAAAATAATATTAATTTATTTCTTAAAGATAAGTTATTATTAAATTCGTTTAAACTATTTTTAGTTTTTAATTATATATTTTAACTTATTGTAATTATAATATTTAAATTCTTTTTTTTAGTAAGATTAATTTCGTTTCGCTATATTAAAATTTATAAGTCCGTTATATTATTTATAAGTAATAGTTTATTAAAAGTTATTATTTTCGTTATAGCGATATTTTTAATTAAAGTTATATTAAGGTTATTATTAATATTTACGTTTTAAATTAGGTTTTTATTATTATTATTTTTTTTTTTTTTATAAAAGCGGTTATCGATTTTAATTACGAGTTTAATATATTAAAAAAAATCGTTTAGTTTATTAATTTTAATAAGTTCGTTTTTAACTTTATTTTTTAATTTTTAATAAAATATAAAAATCTTAATATTATTAATAAAATTAAGTTAAGTATTAAAACGTTTAAACTTAGCTAAGTAGTCTTTTATTAATTTAATTTATTAGAGTTATAATATATTACGCTCGGCTTATTATTTTTTATTTAAATTTTAAAAAAGCGATTTAAAAATTTTTTTAAACCCATCGAAGTTATAATAAATATTTTATATTTCGATAAAATATTTATTAAAGGTTTTTTTTTTAAAATATTTTTCTTAAAAGGGTTTAAATTATTTAAAAGTTTATTTTTTAAAAAAGCTAGCAATATATACGACTTTTTTAATTTCGTTATTAAAATTTTTTTAATAAAAGTTTTAAAAGTTTTTAATTTAAATTAAAAATCCTTTTAAGGTTTTAAAAGTCCCGTCGAAAGTAATAAATACGTTAAATTTAAATTTTTATTATTTTTTATTAAGAAGGGTAATAACAATATTAATAATATTTTAAAACGTATTTATTTAGTTAGCGAGGTTTAAAACTTTTTAACATTCGTTTTTAAATTTTTTAAATATAACATTAAATATTTTTTATATTTCGGTAATATTATAATCGTTTTTAATTTAAGCTTTTATTAATCGAGTAATAATAATATTAAAAAAATCCGTTAGTTTTTTATTACGTTAAATATTTTAATTAACGACGCGGCGTATTTAAATATATATTATTTTATTAAGGACCGCGTCTTTATTAAAATTATATTTAATATCGGGTATTTTTACGTTTTTTTTAATTTAAATTAACTCGGCGT